GAGATCGGCGTACTATATACTCAGTGGCGGGGTGGTGTGTAGGGCTTGGGGAGTGGGGACGGAGACGGACGTGGTGGGGATGGGAGTTTTGGGAGCCCGAGGTGGCTTCCTCGTAGGGAGGGGTGGGTTCGAAGGGTGTTGGGTGGCCCATTTTGGATGATTTGGGGTTGGGGGTATGATGGTTTGGATTATGGTTGATGCTGGATGAGAGGTAGGATGGATGTTATTATGGCGGTTTGGGGAATGGTGCTGCCTGGTATAAGGTACGGCTGGAGGATCCGAGTCACATGCGCCTCGCGGCACAGCCACACCAGCTTACTGTGCTACCTGTCAATTACATGGCTTGATTTAGTGGCTGTCAAGTGGTTAAAGTTTAGGGGTGATGCTTGTTGGTCTTATTGGCTAAGGCTGCTATAGAGGATAGCTCTATGTAGAGACAGGGCAAGGGATCAGGTGACCTGCATCAATCACCAGTCTCATTCCAATCCCAAAGATATCTACAGCCGATTCGGAACCAAATTCAGGCTTGGCCCACAATACGCCTCAGCATCAAACTTGTCCTTCTTGCCCAATCTGACATAGCCATCCCACGGACCGCCCTCATCAAACCGCATGCACATCGTATCGCAATCCCTCCGACAGCTCTTGTAATGCTTCTTGTCGATAAACTCCTTCACGGCTTTGCCCACCGTCTGACTCAAGCTGGTGTAATCGCAGTCCGTCATTTTCGATGAATACGTGAACCGCCATCCATCATACACCCGCTCGAAGTAATCGCATTGCTTCTCCTCAAAATCCTCGAGGTTGATGGTGATCGTTGGGATTGCATTCGGGGGCTGTTGCTGCTGCTCGCGTACGGCCTCTGCCCAGGCCTTGCCGAATCCCTGGGCGATTTCTTCCTTAGAGGCGCATTTCTTATCTTGGGTGGACTCGGAGTCCGAGCTGAGGATGGGTTCGATGCCAATGATATTTGTCAGGGAATCGCTGGCGGAGATCTGGAAATCTGGGTTGGAGGGCTTGCGCGAGTCAACTTCGCTTGCGGAGGGGTCTGCCAGGGATTTCTGGGAGGCGACAACGGAGGTCGTAAGAGAAAGGAGGGCAACGGGGAGTGTCAACTTCATGGTGGCAGATTTTTGAACTGGGATTGATAGGTTGAACTGTCTCGGGGGGTCCGTTGCTTTTGTAGTAGCCCAGTGAAGATTGAGCTAAACGGAGAAGTTGTCGGGCTAATCAAGGCATTGCTAGCCACTAGCCCTGGCAAGGTTAGTTGACCGGAGTAAGGCTGCACTGCCCCGCTATTGGGGCTGAGCGGCTCTCGGATTACGACTCTTGTCAGGCTCGTGTCTAGCTGAATGAGATCCTTAATCTCCTGAAAGCCGGGCGCAGCGGTGCGTATATGCCTCAAGCTGCGACATTTTGCTGCACCGTCCACCTCATCCCAAACGCTAGTAGGAGCCTGCTGCTCGCTGTGATCAAGGACCGTGGGTTCTCCCTACTCGCGGCTATATAGGGTCATTAGCTAGACATCATCCATTGTTCCTTTATACTCACTTGCATACGTACCGGTTTTTTACCCAGCAATTCTGCAAGCAACAGCGTACTCTTCCCGATTATTGCCGCTATACCGAGTCGTATGCTAATAGCACGTCTAGTCAACATGTCCATCGCTCCACTATCTGCTGACTCCACGCCATTGATCCTATTTCGAGTAGAGTACCGTGCAAACAGAAGCCTTAGAGGAGGCCATCTATATGCACGAAGAACGGGTGATACAGACGCGCCAACATGGGAAGATTTCGATGACCACCTGTCATGGGGACGGACACCAACCCGTTTTCTATCCTTTTTCAGCAGTTGGGGACGGGCCATAAAGCGACGACAAGATTTGGAGGATAAAAGAGAAAGAGATATTATTGTAATAGCCATCTGGGCAAAAGATATGCCAGGCGTGTACAGTGCAGAGGAAGTTGCGTGTCGGCTTGAATACTCTAACATGAATCCCGCTGCACAAAGAAGGTGGGACCACCATGATGAATACCTTGTTGAAGGGGGTATTCCGGCTGATGATTACCGAATCCTTGCTGTGTTTGAGGGTGGCGGACCTCCGCGTAGGGTTGTGTTTGAATGGCCTGGGTTGCAGGCATCGACAACCATTCCGACTGGGTTTTTCCCAGGACGGAGATCGAACAACCCACTTCAGGATATCGCAGATGAGATTTACAGTCGCTCGGGGGCTCGCGATGATCTGAAGCGGGATGAGCTTGTACAAGCAATCTCTGGGAGGCTGCCATTTTTGAACTTTGAATATCAGTAGTGAGCAAGCGTGAATGCTTGAGGTTACTGTTGTTCGCGAGTTGAAAGAAAGGGACAAACCAAGGACTTTATTTGATCAAAACAGCCCATTATTTCATCAAATCGTAAAGCTCACTATATTGTCAAACTGATTGTTCTCTCTGCTTCCAGATACTGGACATGGTCACACAGCTCTGTCTTAGATAGTTGCCATCGTTACTATTGTAGGTGTATCATCTCCTCGAGGCTATGCCCGAATTTCAAAGTCGGCAGTGTGAGGCACACTCCTCAAAGACACTAGGTCGCGCATCTAAGTTTGTAGATACAACATAGGTGTAGGTAAAAAGAGGCACAGCAGAGGAAGGTGGAGATGATAGGCCTCCCGGGTAAAGGCACATCCGCTCATGAAAACATTGAGTCACGTGCAAGGCATCAGGCGGCCTCCTTTTCCATTGCAGCCTCAGGCTACCACATCAGGCCACCAGGCCAGTCAGGGAAGCTTGTGTCACCACGTGCCTGCGTGCGGGGATCATTGCCGATGATACCAAAAGTGCCGCAACGGCATAGTCATACTTTATACTGAAAGTGGTAGCCCAATTCTTCATGGGATGTGGTTGTTATCAATTGCAAGTTTTGTCCGGTTTGCTTCCCCGCCACCCCCACTTCATGAAGAGAGGAAGATGAAATTACAAAACAGCATATAGAAACTTGGAGCGAACTATCGGGGATATGATACTAGAATGAAGATCAACTCTATAAATGAAGGCATCGATGCCTTGCTACCATTTAATTAGCCAAAGCCACCCAAATGCAATCTGCTGGGTAGGCTAAAACCAAATCACCCTCCGGTGAACCGCCCCCCCACGGAAGGAATCTTACCTAAAAGTCAAATTTCCCCCGCGTCAACCGATATCCAACGCCCCTCAATCCCACGATTACAACCAAGATCTATCCTTAAACATACGTCATACATCATGCCTGACAAGGACGCTGGTACCCCCCGTGTCTTCCTCTACCGACACGGTATGTACCATAAGCCCCACCCTATAGGGTAATCCACTCAATATCTTCACCAGGAGAGACCGAATGGTCCAAGAGCGGCCAATACACCGGCATCAGCGAGATCGAGCTGACCGAGGACGGTGTCAAGCAGGTGCTGGCCTCGGGAAAGATCCTCGTCGGGGCCGGCAAGTTGATTGACCCGGCCAAGCTGGCGCGGGTGTTTGTCAGTCCGCGCCGGAGAGCCGTGCACACCTTTAACCTGGCATTCAGTGAGGCCGATAAGCAGGCTTTGAAGGATGCTAACAAGGTGGAAGAGACGGAGAGACTGGCCGAGTGGGGGTACGGTCTGTACGAGGGGATGCTGACCAAGGACATCCGCGCCTTGCGTAAGGAACATGGTCTTGATACGGAGCGGCCGTGGGATATTTGGACTGATGGTTGTGAGGAGGGAGAGTAAGTTATATTTTAAGACTAGTGGACTGGTGGGATAGCTGACACGCGGCATAGATCCGCTCAAGATGTGACAGACCGTCTTGATAATCTGATTGCGGAGATCCGGGCTCTTCACCAAGGTAACATGCATGGGGAGAAGCCTTCGGATGTGGTCCTGTTTGCTCATGGCCACACTCTGCGTGCGTTTACGAAGCGCTGGTTGGGTTACCCGATGGACTTTCCGCTGTCCATGATGCTGGAGCCTGGTGCGGTCGGCGTTCTGAGGTATGTCTATCCTGCTGTGGGAGATTACAGAGCTAACGGGTTGTAGCTACCAACATCACAGCATTGATGAGCCCGCTTTCCTGGTGGGTTATGGGTTTCCGTTGGAGAAATGAGTGGGTCGTGCATGACCCTGTGGGAGGCTCAAATAGATGAATGTTTATATCTTAGGAATTTAGATAGGATAGATGAAATGATCTCAACAATTAGTTCGAAGTTATTGCTCAGGTTTGAGGGAAATGAAGAACGTGAGAGCAGAGACTAAGGGCAGGGGGTATCGGGTGACTAACATGCGACCCCCTTCCGTCTATATCCTCCTTATAGTCTGTTCTTGAATCCTGGCGCTTATCTGGCAGTCTGGAATTATATACTGATTTCTTGTCGATCCCCTGAGCTCTCTACCAGATCCACATCTTCCATACCCGGCACGAAATATATATACGGAGCAGCCGCCGGAAAATCTAGCCATTTTCTCAGAGATAAACAGCAGGAGTGTCAAGTACATTCACCTTGCACCTTGCATGCATCGTATACTCAAACCATGTGCTTCTCGCATATGCGAGATGGGGACATACACATCAACAAGTGGCCAGTAAAAGCTCAGTTTTTGCTTGTGAATGCCTTTATCGCTACTTTCAATATCAACCGGCAAGATGGCCGAGCGGTCTAAGGCGCTAGGGTCAGGTCACCTGATCACCTATGTTCTTCGGAATATTCCTAGTCTCGAAAGGGGCGTGGGTTCGAATCCCACTCTTGTCATACTTTTTGCTTTCTTTTTCTGACATATCTATTGCGTGGCATCTACTGCTTTTTGCTGCATATCGACTTTTTTGATTTTGGATTGGTTGTTACATATTGGAAACTTCATTCGCAAAGGAAAGGGCCCAGATACGGCAAAGGGAGCATTACAATGGAGCTGCACAGGCTAATCAAATACGCACTTGAATGCTATTGAGTCGCGATAGGAGGCTCAATTCATCACGTCTTGCCCAGATATATGCTCGATAGGTGCTGAGAGTTTCAGTACGCTGTTGAGGAATATTAGCAACTCACGTCAACCTCCATAACCGAGCACATCCAAGTACCGCCCTGGCTAAGCGAACACACTGGCCCGGGACCGCTTCGCCAAATATCAATGCCCAAGAAATCCCCATGGAGGGCATGATATGTTCCCACGATCGGGAGGCGCTGGACGCCCTGAGCCTCTTTGAGAAAGACATCATATTTGGCTTGTCGCACTTTCCTCTGGATAACATATGTGGTCCCCCCAACGGACAGGGATGGAGACATCAGCTCTTCCAACCGAGCCACCCACGACTCGGGTGTGACGGACTCTCCGAGAATAATTCCGTCGCCTTTTCCGCCTCGTGCCGGCTTGAGCAGATACTCAATCTTGAGGTCATTCTGCTGACGGCACCGTTCAATGAGCTGCGCCAGTTGGCCAGATCCAGGCAGAATGGTCTGGCAAATCCCCTGCTCGAGCAGGCTGGCTTCTTGGACTGCCAGCACCGTTCTCGTCACGAATGAATCGAGCTCCTCCAAAACAATCCCCAGCATCCGCTTGTCGTGGACCAGAAGCAAGGTGCGCATGTCGTTGAAACATCGCAGACTGATCTGCTGAAGAGTGTCATAGCGGAGATCTAGAAGCTCGTGATGATACAGTTCTAGCTCTACCTGATGGATCTCTTCAAGAAGTTCTCCACCTTCGGTTCGGAATCTATTCCACCCCACAGGCGACTCACTATCGACCAGGCAACATAGTCTGTGTCCGCCAGGCGACCGATGGCAGGGTATCAATCGGAGATCATCGGGGGTAATAAAGCGGACCCGTTGGCCCATATGCGTCTTCACATAATGGGCAAGGGGATGAATATCTATCCCAGGCTCTTCCCCCTTGAGCACGTGAAGGGGCAAACTCGGATTGTAGAGTCGCTGCAAACCGTCGAAGAACTACTTCTTATCGTCAGCTGAATCATAGCGTGCAACATGTATAGGACGCGGCTAAACGGCAATACATACAACTTGCGAATTAATGGCCCCCACCAGCTTGCGCCCTGTTATACCAGTTGCCATCAGTGCATCCTGCCCCAGCGCGTTCACCATGAAGCCATTCCAACAGAACCGCGCATTGATTTCGCAAATTCGAAACATTTGCTCATCGTTCGGATGGATCTGCTCCTCGATGAGAAAATCCGGTCTCCAGGATCCGCAGCGCTCCCGAAACGGGCGGATAATGCCGGTGTGCTGGATATCATTCAACCACTGTTCGCATGAGCAGACTGGCGGCCGACCAAGATCGGAACTATTCATACCTGGAGAAGCTTTTCTTCTACGGGCTGAAGAGGCATACGCGCCGGAAAATTTGCGCTCGAATCCGTCCACCATCTGGTAACAATGTCGTCGAGAGCCGTGACGAGGACTTTGTTAAGGGTTGCCAGACGCGCGAGATGCTCTCGGTCGACTAAGATTGGATAAGGACATTGAGACAGGTACAATTTGTCAGGCCACGAGTCGGCCGGACAGGCTTGCAAAAGGCTCGAATGTAGCGCGTCCTGAAGACGCTGACGGGCCTCTGAGCCGACCGCACTAGGAGCTGTGATCTCGACTGAGCCCTCTGTAGAGGGAATAACCCCGATCGACCGCAGTTGAGATTTATGGTTTTTCATGATGGTGGCTGATCAAAAGATGGCACGATGGCAGGACCAAGTCACACAACGGGCCAAATGGCGGGAGATTTATGCTTCCAGGGGCAACTTCGGATCTTTTTTAGCCCTCCTCAAGGTCACCCGTCATGCATATGATCGATCGTGATGCAAGTAGACATTCTATTGACTCATGGCCAAGTCTATCATGGGGCCTGACTAATCCTTTCCATTCCATGCTCATGACTAGACGGTCCTCGAGCCAAGTCAGCATTAGTAAATAATTGTCTGCCTTAGTCACTATGTCGGCTGGCTTCTATCCCTTGGCAGATATTCTCTCCGTCGCTCAGGTCCATCCATTCTATTCGGACACGCAATATCCCCCTACGCGAGAACAGCTCCCTCACATCCTGCATGCCGCTCAAGCCAGTCCGCAAGCCGCCCGGGATCTTGAGTCGTTTCCTTTGACCAGGAAACATTCCCTGTACGTTAAAACTATGGTCAGCCTTCCCCATGCATTGAACGATCTAATCATATCCATTGAACTAGATATCAGCACATCTCTCGACTCACCGTGGACAAGAATTCGCGAAACGGATATCGCCAGGGAACCTTTGTGAGCACCACAGGCGGGGGCTCGGGCGGGGCGCCGATGGTGTTTGCGACGGATGCGCTCGAAAATCGGCAGCAGCGCGCAGTGATGGGAGACATTCTGCGGAACTGTGGCCTCATAGAGCCGGGAGATTGGGTCCTGACACTCCATGTCTCGGGCCACCTATACCGGTACGTGACTCCAATAAATGCCAGGTTTATACCAACCCTTGCAGGGCCCTAGATCTCATGACCGAGTTGTTTGAAAACGCTGGCGCGGCCGTCTTGTGTGCCGGGCCGGAGATGGCGCACTCGGCTGTGGTGGAAGCCATCATTCAGTATCGGGCTAATGCCGTGGCGGGAGATGTCAGCCAGCTTCTGCAGCTAGCCAAGTATGTCAGCACTTTAGACGCAGTGCAAAAGTCTGCGCTCCGCCTAACAAAGTTGTTCTACACATCCGAGTCCATCACGTCCGCTCAGCGAGGCTTTTTGACCTCGGTCTTTGGGGACCTCACCATCTGCTCCGTCATTGGCAGTGCAGAGGCCGGAGCATGGGGTGTCTCGAGCAGCGCGTTGACTGGGATCCCCAAGGCAAACTATACCGATTTCATCGTTGATAAACGGACAATGCACCTGGAGGTCTTTCCTCTGACGGTTGCGGACCAGGAAGCCACTGCGTGTGTGAAGCCAGTACCCCTAGGACAGCCAGGACTGTTAGTTCAGACATCGTTACAGCGTCTACGAAATCCTTTGGTACGATATGTATGTGGCGACATCGCCTCCCTGCACCCGTTGCCATCGACCTTACTGGCAATTCTTCCCAGCCAACACACCGAGCATTACCAAATGATCCGTGTCTACGGCCGAGACCAACGCTCCAGCTTCACCTGGTACGGTGAGTACTTCGAATTCGGGGCGATCGAGGCCTTCATGCGCGCCGAACAGTGGGATATCCTCCTGTGGCAGATCATCCTGCAGGATGCCAGTCCCGAGGGGGCAGATATTGTGTTGGAAGTGCGTATTTTTCGGGATCCGGACAGTCGAGTCAGTCAGGAGCATCTCGCTGCCAAGATCCGGGAGTTTTTCTGGGTGTTTGATTTCAATGCGGAGCTGTTTCGGTTGGAGTTTCTGGGGGATACGAGGGGGTTTCGACGGAGCAGAACGGGGAGGAAGGTGATGCAGTTTGTGGATTTGACTGGTTGAGATATTATGCAGAGAGCTACCTCCGATACAATGGAACACTGCTCATGCAATTAGGGTATAGAGCGTACTCCGACTACTCCCATAGTGGATGCCACTTTTTGCATGTGGATACTGTAGCTTCACCATTCCTAACAACTCTGTGTCAAACCAGCTACTCACAAATGATCCCCAGGCTTAGAACTGAGGTTCGAAGTCTGTTATAGAGTGCAAGGATTCCCCTTCATCCACCAGTCAAATAACACAAGCACACGTAAACTCCATCAACCGTAAAAACCTAAGTAGCGAAGTAGAGTTCCGTGTTCCGCGTACTCGAGGAGAATGCCGTGGGGTGTTGCGCCGTGGTATTGGAGGATGGAGGGGGGACGGGGATACGGGGAGTGGGAGAGACGGATGTAGATGGATTTTTCGAGGTCGCAGGGGATGCGTTCGGTGTCGTTGATGGGGAATTTGAGGATGTGGTTGGTCGTGGGGTCGAGGGCCGCCAGGCTGCTGCTGCCCCAGCCTTTGATGTCTTCGTTGGTGATGCCCGGAGGGAAGGGGATGATATCTGAGGCCATGGGGGGTGTGGAGGGTGGTGGGATTTTTTTTGGTTGTAGCTTGGATACGGGTGTAAGGTGTATAATAAGGGTGTGGTTGTGCTGGAAGGCTGAAGTACAGCTGAGGAGTTGGATCTTAAACCATGCGGAGGGTGGGTCGGATGTTTCAAATATAGTAGTCACCCCAGCCACGGGGGGGGCGCAGTTAGCGTGAAGATCGGGTTGCCCGATGGTGGCTGTGACATCATAAGGTCACACTCAGTGTAGTGACTTACTATGTATTAGGTAGTAATGGAACTTGAGAAAAATCTAATATGGGAAACGTTTTTGCCACGACGATTCCAGCAGAGAATGAGATTTGTGCTGGAGATTTACGGAGTCTATACCCGCCATCGGGTGAACGGATAATGGTTCCGGTTCTTCACCGCCTGTGATCGAACTCGGTATGATGAACCTCGATAGATACACAAGCTGAAATTATCCTGCAGAAGATATGGAACGAATAATTCATAAAAAAAGATATACTCAGTATTGGCAGAATGGATCCTTGGCAGTTTACGGAAAAGCTATTACTTACTATGATCCCTGTGTAGTTCGTCTCTTACTACTTTGACCACCATTTCTCAGATTTCCAGTTATGGCTGAAACTAGAATTATTGATGTAGTTCTTATTCTCCTAGCTCTGACCACCACTGGCGAAACAATATGTGTCATCAATTTTACAGAAGGGTCTGGCTGTTCAAGAAAGGTTGAATGATGATAGGGAGATACATCCTTGAATAAGACAAGATAGCACAGAAAACTCTACCAAGTCATCCACGCTATCGACCAGGCAATTTCAGAATTAGCAATATATCCTCTTGATCCTCTCGCTGGTCTCGTTAGAACCTATCCAAATACTGTATATCCAACATACCAAAAGACCTCAAAGCTAGCAGCAATCCTCTCTCCCAAATAAATGTATTCCCTCTCCGAGCGCCGATAGATTTTCAATCCAAAAACGTCACCTCCACATCAAAATCAATCCAAACCACCCTCCCCGAACAAGCAGCATATCTTTCGGATATACATCACGATGATGAACCAGCGCGCTATGAACGTCCTTTAACCCGGATAACCTGCGCAAAGCGATCGGATGAATAGTTCACACAGTTCAGCTCTTCGACGTTCTCTGAATATTCAGTGAAATAGCACTCGGACGGTTTCTGTCGTTGAGAAAGTGACGGAGGTGCGGGTCGAACTGGGCTGGATCAATCTGATCGAAGTATCGATGATAGTTGGGAACGGATCCCCGATTGCAGACCCTATACTGTCGGAGGTTTCGGTATGCGCGCAATTCGCAGTGGAAAGGGTTTAAGTCTCGGCCTGTCTTGGTGAAGCCGGGCCGCCATTGTTGTGGAAATTGGGGTTAGGTGGTTTGTGAGAGTTGAATGGTATTGACTTACGAATTTCAGAACGTAGCGAGTCATTTGTATCGTGACCTGGAATATAGAGGATGCTTCGGGACTTTTAAGTTGCTTGTCGATTTGCAGCAGACTCAGAGAGGGTTCAAATAGTCGGTAGGAGATTGGGACTTTTTGGTGATGATTTATTTCACATCATCGATTGTAACCGGAAATTCCCATTGGTTTAAACCATCGATCGGAAATAGGTACTGCGCTTCAGCTGTTGGTAAGGCTCCTTAAGAGTGGTTGATTGAGCCGTTCATTCTTTAGGACACCTACAACTAGATCCTCGAGAAATATAATATAGAATGCTTATTTGGAATCTTCGTAATAACCCTGGGTGTATAGTAATTTGTACAAAGGTGTGTAATTAGTCGATAAGTTAAAAAAAGTGTACCCACTCATGTAGGTGGTATTATTCATATTCTGATACTATGATCAACTAGCAGATTGGTGGAATACCCATATTTAATTTGATGATATCCATTCGACAGTTAAATTTGTTGTGATGATAGTAAAAAGCAAACACAGATAGTGACATAGTCCAGGCTACGCACAGAATTATGAAAATCACGGTGGTAACCAGCGCCTATAAGGCCTAGGGAGGGAAAACCGCAACACGGGATGCCAGATTGATACCGTCCATCTGTATCAAACCGCCGAGCCAGATTAGGGGGGAAGGATACACTGCACAGCAGACACTATCCCAACCTAACACCCCCGATCTAAACCGCAATCTCAATCGGAGCAGCCTCAGCCTGCGCCTCAACCTCGTCCTCAGCCTCACGGGCCTTCTTCGGAGCCTGATCAGCAAAATCCTTGACACCAGTATTGATCGCCTCAGAGATACCACCCGCAATGGAGCCAGCAAGGCTCTGCAGGTTCTTCGGAACCTTGGACACAATAGTATCCGACAACTTCTTCGCGGCCGCCTTCTGCTGAGTCAAATCATTGTAGGTCTGAGCGCCCTTGCCCGCCTTGACAATCTGGGCCTTCTTGCCATCGAGCTTGGTGATGACGGTGGAGATCTTATTCTTGAGATCGTTGACGGGACCCGGGAGACCGAGGGCATCGCCGGAGCTGAGCGCCGCGGTGCCGCTGACCTTCTTGTTGCCGTTGTTGATGGCCGTCACGAGGTTGTCGGAGGCTTGTTGGAGCTTGGCCACGCTGCCGCCGTTGTAGGCTTGGATGGCGGACCCGAGGGCGTCGACTTTGGTGCCGATGTTGGTGAGAACGCCCGTCACGGTGGGGAGATCGCGCTCTTCGACCGGCGTGGGCGCGGCGAGGGAACCGACGGCGAGGCCGAGGGTGAGGAGGGAGAAGACGGAGAACTTCATTGTGATTGAATTGAGTGGTTTTGTAGTGATGTTGATTGATGAGGATGCTGATGATGGTGAATTGGATGGATAGTTGGGCGACTTTATACCTTTGGCTGCACCATAAACAAGTCACGGAATCATACTGTGCTGCTGGTGGAGGTACTTAGATATGATGATCTGCAGACCCGAATTTTGGTGATCGACAGGGATCGAATCACCGATGGTTAGAAAATGTCCAAATTTCTGGGGAAACTTAAACCATGGACTTGAAAAACGGATGATCTAAGCATTTGAACGTGCTTGGCTAAACTTTATTTCCAAAAATATAACACGATCCCAGTATTGCTGATGGTACCGTCGGCCGGGATCTTCCTGATCGCCCACGGGGAGATTTTGATATACCGCCCTCAATTATCAGTTCGCGTTGAATTTGTATCATCTTCAGACTCAAGTGCAGGTGTCTAGGTGAGGGTTGTAGGATTTGATGCAGTGATCAGCTGGTCGATCTCATCCTTCGATGATACCCTAATATACAACAGCCTGGTGGGCGATATAGAAGGTAGCATTGTGAAACGGATGGAGGCACATTGAAACGGTACAGTCTGGGGCGCTACGACCACAGCGGGGCACGTCCGTGCTACTCCCTCGCTCCTGCCTTTCAAGGCTTGGGTTTTAGGTTACCAAAATTCTACGTGTGGCATAGATATCCCTGAGGCCTCGGTTTACTAAGACTGTAACATAAGCGATAAGCTAGCTATTCGAAGAAAGGGATGTGTAGAAAAGCACCGCCAGCTAATAGCGACGCAATTAAGCTCTCCAAGGGGGCCGACTTTTCAGTTTGGTCGGCTGCTTTCCTGATGGTCCCTCCTCAGGCTTCCTGTACGGCGCACGCCAGATATTGAATGCTTCCACGAAGGGGCTCTCCTCGTCGACCGGAAACGATGTGCTGCTGGTCGGGTCCGTAAATGCAAGGCCCTCGAGGTCGATTAAATAAAGCTTGTTTGTCCGCGCATCGTAGTTGAGATAGCTGGGATGTTCCTGGATTAGCTTATAGCTATTCTGGCGCATCGTCCTGCGAGATGGACACACCCGTTAGCAGATGACTTTCATGACAAGCCTTTACATACTCTAAAATATGCGCGAGCTGGGTTCGGATACTCGCGAGCTGGCGATCGGTGAGCTCTTCATGGATCTCATCCAGATTCTCACCGGGAGGAGGTTTCATGACGATGAAGTCGACATAGCCGTCGGGAAAAGGCATCCACTCAGGCTGATCCTGAGTTTGATGCTTAAGGTATTTTGGTCCGAGTCCAGCTTTAGACAAGAGTATTGTAGCCTCAACCTCATGGCAGTAATGTTGCTCGGCGATCTCCAGAATTTCATCATTTAGATCGTCGAAGTCAAAGTATTTTGGGTCCAGTTGGTAGCGTATCTTGAGCAAAGACGGTTTTTGGTTGTCTATGTTTCTGGCCTTTGCTAGAACATGGCGTTGGCCCATTCGCATATCCAGAACCTCGGAGAGTTGCTCCTCGATTTTGAGTTTCCTCCCGTCGAAATCGAAGACTCGTCCTTCTAAGCTGTAAGCCCACATGGCTGAGATATTGCGTGGTTAACTATTCGACTAGGAATGGGGGTATGGTCTGAATTGATGGCTGATTGAAGATGAATGTTGTGAGTAGTGAGGCGAAAAGGTTTCTTGGCAGGAGAAAGTCATGTTGGGTCACAGCCCCATCACAGAAAGAGCCCACCATTGACCATGACACTTGAATCGCGTCATTGTGAATATGTCATCAGAATTGCTTCATAGAGATGTGGCTTCTCTCCTGAAGGTCGCCTCCTGCTGTGAAAAAATTTTCTAGAAACACGAAACAATGTAATCAGTGGTCTCCAGTTTATTGGAATTACTTGTATTGAAGACCGTTTTCAGGTAGCTCTAATCTAACAGTTCATTTTATATGCATCATAAGAGTCTCAACGGTGCATCGACGATCTCTTTTATTATAATCGGACAGAACTAGATACAATACAGACTTTTCTAAAGGATCTGGAGAGTAAGTCTAGGTATGAACATAAGTCGTTTAGATAAAAAACTGACATCTGATCCTCAAAGGAACTGTGAAGCAGAAAATAGGTTTTGATATGTCACTCATGCCGTAGATTTGTGATACCTGGTCACTGTCATCCTTCATCTATGATCATTCAACAAACCATACAATGCATTCATCTACATCAATTTTCCAACTTCACCTAGGCTTATAGTAGGATTCACCACAGAGAAGCTTATACCCTGCCCCTTATCCTTTCCTTTAAATATCTTCTTCCCCCAATTTCTCCTTCCTATATTCAGAACATCCCCATTTACGCATTCTAATTAGATGACGAATATGATCCTTCTTGACTTATTTTGCAGTCTACACACAGATTACAAACCACTTTCTGCAATCAGTTGACACAGCCACCATTTGAAAAATGCTCTCTGCTAAAGCTGCCAAATGGCGTCGCCATCTTAATAACCGGAAAAGTCTTTCGAACACTGAAGCCCGGAAAGCCCCAGTTCATGCTCAAAGACCAAGTACAGACTTAGTCAGATCCCTCAAAGGAAGTAAAGACCATCCATATTATGGGCAATGTCAATCTATTATACCCATGGTACCTCAAGAGGGGTTATATGCCTTACAAACTAGGTAAATGACCACCCATCTATTACGTATCTGAGTACCATACACTAATCCCAGTCTTGATAAGTATAGGCCAAATCGCCAGGTACATGGCATCGCCATACATACTCGTTATGGAATCTTCACCACATACGAGTACATATGGTTCTTGAAGCGAATCGATAATCTACGATTCGCCATGTCGCAGATACATGGACGACCACCATACTCGCTATGGCATTATGACCACGTACGAGTACACGTGGTTTGTGAAGAGACTTGACAATCTACGATTCGCCATGTCGCCACCGATAAGTGCAAGAGCCCAGTCTTCCGCTACCAGCGTCTCACTGAGAGAGTGTCTCTTTGCCATGGCACTCAAGGCCACGGATGACAAAGACAGCTTCTTTCCAGTGTATGGGGCGAAGATAGTAAGATATAGTGTTCTTACAGTTTATACCATCTTGGTATAGACTGCTCGCGGACAACTCTACGCCAGGGTATCGAAATACCCGCGCAAAGTGAGAAGAAAGACCCATTGAATGATGCAGTGATCGGGACTTGCGTATCTCTTTGGAACTTGTGGTTTTCGGTTTTATTGCGTTTATGTCGTTTAAGCTTCTTGTGACTGCTCTTCTTGAGATAGACTGTGCTTCATTCTGGATAAAGAGATGGAGGTCATTTATCCATGTCCCTGTGGCATCTAACCACAAAATCACCGGCATATAATCAGTTTGCGGTGAGATGATCTCACTAACAAAGAGTTAGTGTTGAATTACATACCAGTTTTGCAGTATCAGCTAACCTCAGAGCCACATAGATAACACCCCGAATCAATTACAACCCCTCCCCCCACCCAAACGGATTGAGATAGTATTCCCCCAGATAAGTCTCCAACAAATCCCACCCAGCATAAACAACCGACCCAGACACCGGACCAATGCTCAGATATTCCAACCAAGCCCTAACCCCATCGATTCGCACAGCCATCTCCAACCCCACACCAACCAACACCATCCTCACCATGATAAAGCACAACTGCACAACCGCTTGAGACTCAATCGGCAACATCAGCGACAAAAGATGATGGAATACACATTTTCGATACTTCCAATACGTATCTGGCGCACAATTCACCGAAACGAATCGAGCCATAAAGGTTGTCTCGGATGCCGATGACCGACGCAGCCATGGGATGAGATGGTTGGCTGCAGCGCATTTCCATCGCGATTGGAATCCGGGGGTGCTGGATTTTAAGCTTAGAGTATCATCAAGGGCTGGTGTTGCGCGGTCAAGTAAATCAGTCAATAAGGTCCAGTCAGACACATACAGACGGGAAGATGTATCGTCGGCTTCGGTTATGCATGGCATACATTCTGCCAGGAATCCTTGTTTTGCGGTTCGGTACTGCGTGATACTTGTGTAGAATCGAGGTGTTATGGGGCAGATTTCGAGACTTGGTCGAGGATGCGAGGTGGGGGGTACAGGAGAGTGGAAAGTGATCGGCTCGAAGCTGATTGTTTTGGGCGGAGTATATTTCAATGTCAGGGGGATATTGCAGTGCTTGATGAGCTGAGAGAGGTATTCGCAGAATACCAGTTCTAAGGATCTAAGCCGTGAAGCTGTTAGGATTTGAGATGGTTATCGGAGGAGGAATCAAGCACCTTTCAACGGGAGTTTCCTTTCGTGCGATACTCCCCTTCCTAACTTCTGGCCGCTGCAAATACTTCAACCCTCCCCTGAACCGGACCCTCAGAGCCTCTTTGACAATTCGTGGTGCTGAGAGGGCACCGACATGTGTCCATCGCATAACAAACTTCATAATCGTCCACGAGGACGAATCCAACGCATCAACCGCATCGCCCCAAGACGATAACCGACTCGTCACCTTTATCTGTCCCTCGGGGCTGACTGAGCTGAGGGTCGACTGCAGTCGCGGAGGAACTTCACTCAACATATCAGAGAATTTAGCCGGCATTGAGCCACCGACCTTTTCGAACGGGGATCCGAAGATGCTCTTCTCCCATGACCCTTTATAGTTGGTGCATTTCGAGAGGGATGTTCGAAACACGAGTTCTTCCGGCTGGGTGAGCCCATTCTGAGATCTAGCAGGGACTGTTTGCGACACTTCACAAATGTCTTCTTTCTGTGAGCCGGCCGGGGCGAGCGAGAAGAAGAAATTCCGCTTCTCGTAGAAAGAGTTGTTGATCTCCATGATCATGGCCGTTAGTTCGCGCGAGGGAGAGTATAGATACCAGTAGTTGATGGCACTTTTCTGCCACCATAGGAATCTGGGGACACTGAGGAGATACGCATACGGATAATCCTTTGGGTTTTGGTCCTAGCTTACTGTCAGTGACACGTACTATAGAGAAGCCCTAGGGATATATTTACCACTGATCGAAGAAAAACATGTAGTTTCTCTTCCAGGCTGCGTTCACCACTCCCGGGGTCAAGGTAGTAGGCCGCATCAATCGTGAACCAGCATTTCTGCCACCACCTCTCTTTGGAAGGGATATTGTCGATGGACAAGAGATTCCCGACACGGCCACGGAGGCCCACTGGGATACCGATCATGAAATAATCATACCAGTAATTATAGCGCTCAGTCACGGGGAAGCGACGAGCGTGGGAGAGTTTTGCCGGGAATAAGAACGGTTTTCCGAGGAATTCCCTTTTGGTGCAGCTGCTGTGAAGATGGAGTTTGCGGAAGAAATATGTAGACCAGATTAACTTGAGGAATAAGGTAGTAGAAGATACGAGAATGCCCAAGGCTAGAGAGAAACAGAATGCCTGTAGCGACTGAAAGGATAGCTTTGATACCCTGAAGAGCAGGGCAAGGGAAGAGAAGTAAATCAGCGCACGCAAAAACATTTTGAGTACAATATATCTGTAGCGGGAAGTCTCATGCTACAGTCCAACAGCAGTCGTATATGTCGAAGATATACTCTCCCGTGATAGATGCCATCTGCGGATGAGCTTAAAGGGAGGTTACACAGCCTCTGTCTCGGAATGTGGACATCTGCAAGTCGCCATAAAAGAAACCGACATATTCTTTCTGGAATGTTGTTAGCTGCATGTCACCGAAAAGACACTGACAGATCCTCCCGGAAATGTGGAAATCTGCATGTCACCTTAAAAGGACTGACAGATCATCTTAGGAATGTTGTTATATGCATATCGCTGTAACAGGAAGTGACAGATCCTCTCGACTATGCTGCAATTGCAATTAACATATCACGGTACAGTCTGTAAAGATTGTTTGTCTTGTCAGTAAATGTTAGAATTTCTGTCAGTCCACTACTATAACAAGTTGCTGCCATTTTCCTGCAGCTTCTGGATAATATAAGTTCTCCCGAAAGTCGTACTACTGGCAATGTAGTGCCTCTGGTGGGCCATCAGATTGTTCCAGATTAAGGAGGAAGAAAAGTTCCTCCTGAGGGCTCATGCCTTATCGAAACAAATGAAAGCACTTGTCTCGCTCTTTCCCTCTTGAATGATCTACCGCTAGCATGCAGGAAGCGCAGAAATGTTCCAAACTTACTGAGACCAAGACCGGTCTACCGTTCTTAGTGATTTGCCTGGCGATCGGATTTGAAGATCCGAATTTGCGCCGGATGCTAAATGGCCGGCCGATTGATGTGACCTCACGAATGCAGGGGTCTTGCCAAATGCGTCACATAGCCCTCCATGCAGAGGCCGGCCATACGAGAATCCCTGACACATTCAGCGACATAGTATACTCCTTGCATCTGCTATTTATGGTGAGAATCCGGCCATCTCTCTATCGTCTACTGGTATAGATATTCTTCGCACCTGGATTACTGGATATCGTCAAGTATCGATTCTCTTTACACGCGTTTTTCTCAGTTCATCCTCATCATGGCGTTTTCTGAGCCTAAGATTCCGTTCAATGAAGTCATTATCATAGGGGCCGGCTTTTCCGGTCTAGCCATGGCCTGTCAGCTCAAAAGAAAGCTGGGATGTGATGACTTCGCTGTGTTTGATCGAGCTAGTGGATACGGGGGAGCATGGCATGCAAACAAATGTGCGTATGATGCCTCTGTCCCTTGATATTATCTGACCGTATCATCTGCTCACACATCACAGATCCAGGATGCGGCGTCGATATACCAGCAGCACTATACAGCCTCTCTTTTGCGCCAAAAACGGACTTTTCCTGTTTCTTCCCCAAGCAGCACGAGATCCTACACTATATCAATTCGGTGGTCGAAGACCATCAGCTCATGTCGAATTTCACCGGTCATACTGAGTGGGTGGGCGCTTCATGGCAAGAGTCTTCCAAGACATGGCACGTCAATCTTAAAGACCTCCACACTGGGCAAGAATTCACCCGCGAATGCAGAATTCTCATCTCTGCCGTTGGAGCCCTATCGATGCCAAATAACTCCAGTATCCCAGGAGCCGAGCGATTCAAAGGGGATGTTATTCATACAGCAAATTGGGATCGGTCGGTATCTCTGCGAGACAAGCGAGTTGTAGTGATTGGCAACGGTGGTGAGTACTGAGCCGACGATACCAGACTCATCGATTGTTGATGGTCTCAGCATCTGCAACGCAGGTAATACCAGCAATAGCGAAAGATGCTCGTGAAATTACCCAGTTTATCAGGGTGTGTTCAATCTGACTCCTCGTTGTTGTTTTGTCTGCTGAGATTAGACCAGACACCGCAACTCTACCTGCCTGGACAGAATACCACGATTAGCAACCTCTGGCAAAGTGCTTATAAGTACGTGCCGGGACTGCTGGTGCTAGTTAGAATCGTGATATTTCTGTATCTCGAAACAGCCACGCTGCAATTCCGCCGGAATCGGACTGGTGCGAATATGAGAGATCAGCAATTTCTAGTCAGCAGGCGCTACATTCTGGACAATGCTCCTGGTGGGTTAACCCCTGATTACCATGAAATGTGACTAGTATTGTTCTGATACAGTGGACAGAGAAATACTGGCCCTTGTTGATTTCGACTACCGAAGCAGGTTGCAAGGTACACCCAATACCCATGATTCCTGATGATTGTACACTGAACAAGAGAAGAGACGGGTCTTCGACAACGACGGCTACATTCATTGTCTGAACCGAGACAATGTTCACCTAATAAAAGATCCAGTTGTGGAGATTACCGAATCATCAGTCGTAACTCAGTCTGGTCAAACGTATCCTGCCGACGTGATTGTAAGTTCAACACGATCCCTTTCTTGCTGCAAAAATCAGCAATTTAACCTCTACAGATACTTGGAACCGGCTTCTCGTTAGCCCACTTTGACACTAGCATCACAGGCTGCCAAGGAATAACCCGTGCCGAACACTGGCAATCCCTCGGTGGAATCAAAGCATTCAACACAATCGCCCTGTCCGGATTCCCAAACATGTTCTACGTTCTCGGGCCCAACTCAGGCACCGGTCACACGTCGACAATCTATGCTATCGAGAGGTAGGACATCTCTATGTATCACACACCAGTAGTTAGGTGTTGCAAGCTAACCTGTATAGCTACGTTGACCTTATCATCCGCGTCATTGAGCCCATTCTTAAGAAAAAGGCCTCATCTGTACAAGTCAAGGCATCTAGCGAACAGGTTTACAGCAAGAAGATCGAGCAGGCGCTGCAGAAGACGGTCTATAACAATGCATGTCCAAGTGTAAGACGGATGTCTTGTTCGCGCGCGGTCTCTTCCTAGCTGATGGTTTTATTCTGGTAGTGGTTCATCGACAAGAAGACCGGCACCAATTGGGCGATTTATCCTTGGAGTTCCTTTTGGATGTGGTATACCACGAGAGCTGCGGGACTCGATGACTGGATTCTTGAGGTACGAGTCTCACGGGTTTTGAACAAGAATTAGTGTGCTGACGTCGATATTTCTGCTACAGTAAAAGTGTTCATGTTGTTGATCGTATGGCAACCTTGCAAGGACCCATCAAGAAGTGAACACATCTGCGTGAGGAAGAGGCTACAGGATTGAATTCGCAGTTATTTCTTCAATTTAGCAACATTTTGTCCTTGGTTTTTCGCATTGGTCATTTTGCAACATCCCTTTAGATGTCCGTTAGATGACATAATAGTCACTATTGAGTAATTATTCAAGGCCCTGGTAACCCATCAAACCCGAACAAGGTACGCTCTTTCCGAGATTCCAAATCAATAATTTCCGTCGTCCCTGCCTCGGCCCGTCCCGGATAACACCCCTTATCCTATTACCAAGGTCAGAACGAAAGGGCTCGGCATCTCATCAAAGTTTCGGCAATTCTTAGACACCTACTAGATAGATGGCTTGAGCCAACATATCGTCCACCAAAATCATCCAAGCAAGCGCCCCTCACTATAGTTAACTATACATCTCCCTGCTTGCAAAAACCACCAAGACAAGTATATGACACAGAGAAGTTAGCAGGAACGCAACCAAGCCCGAGATCAACGCTACATGACGCGTACAACACTGAATCAAGCCAGATGCATACGATCGACCAAAAATGGATATCCGGATTATTGGAAAAAGCCCTTCGGAGCTATTCGGTGATGGAAAACGACAGTGCATGAGTGATAGGTGACATTAAAAGTTTGCTCCGGTCCCTATGCAGCTCGCCCCTTACGTTCAACGGATAAGGGCTTCGTTAATCGTACGGAGTAAACTGTGCAGCGATCAGAGGAATCCACATTTCCATTTCACCCTGCACTGCGTACCAGTAGCCGATGTGTGACACAATCCAGATGCTTGTGTCCAAGTACATGCGAGCAGACCATCAAAGAGGCAAGGAGGAATGTTTCTAGGAGGTTCTTCCGCGTGCTGTCATGTGGCTGTGAGACACATTCTTGCCTTCAAGTGGTCAGGATGCCAAGCTTGAGCATGTGGTGGAGAAGATCGCCGGCCTGGACAGGGGTCGGGGAATCTCCACGGGGTATTTCCGACATTCTTTGCGTGGATACCAAACTTTAACGGCTGCAGCAGGTGTCGCATTTGCCTTATCAACTTTCGGTGGCATTGAAGATCAACGGTTAATTGGTATCTCTGGGAACTCTTGAGATGATCCTCGTAGCTAGGCTTGTCGATCGTTAGACTCTTTCCTCTGTGGTCTTCGTGCAGCGTCATCCGTCTGTATTTAGATCAATGCATACATCTTGAGGATCACGAATATGATCTCCTTGGCATTGTTTACATTCATCCCAACAGTAGAACGCCCTTTAGGTTAATCTAATCAATATTGCGTGCTTGTCGCTGCCCTCTCTCTATACGGAGCACTGGTTTATTTAATCTGCCTAAAGCCTACCGCTTTGATTTGGATTACCGGAAATACTACTGGGCGCGGCTATGTAGTTTTATCCATTATTTCAAAGACCAGTTTCATTATGTCCTTGAGATCAGTTTCAAACTTGATGGTACTAGCAGTTGCTAGCTAATAAGTAGAGATATGTACTAACGGCACTCTTATGACTGCTTATTTAACCCAGCTGCACTCACCCCCCCTTCCAGCTAGCACTAGTTGTCGGGAAAGTCGCAACTGGATTACGGCTTGTTTGCTGTTCGAGTATATCTTAGGAACGGCTGAGCGGAAACGACTATTCCTGAGTTAATCTCCTTCCAGAATATTGCTAATATTATCGGGTCCATGGGAACTTCCCTTTCTGCTATGTTTGTGACAACCTTGGTCATCTTGCAGTCCAAACACCCTCCCCGGGTCCCTTCATTGCGGGAAGGTAGTGCATCAATCCCACCATACTCGATCTTCTTACTAATTTCCTTCGTAATTTCCGCTACAGCCAGGTTCTGTACCCACGGAACCAAAAGCGAGAGAAGACAGAGGAAAGAAACAAAACATGCACACATTCTACAAGGATACGTGTGACCCTGCGCACGGTCCTAGACCAATCTTGGCATCCACTCTGCCTTATCTTCCTCACTATCTATTGGACAATCAGCCCAAAAAAAGCTCCTATCAGTGACCCACTAAGCATAAGCCGGTTGCAGGTTAATCTCCGGAGTCTCTAACTCCGCTCCATCGAAGATGACGGAATAAGCAGGAACAAGTTCAAGGAATATGGCCAGAGTAACTACCCCTCTCAAGCTAGAGCAAGTCTCATATGGATAGTTAGCTAGCATCTAGTTGCTTACGTGTCACCGCCTATTGGATAAAGCCCCACTCTCTATGACCCACTTCAATATAAGCGTAAGCAAGTTACATGATGTCCAGCGCCATCAGAAAGTTAAATCTTGAAGACCAACCCCATTCAATCCTCCGCACATAAGAGTCTTCAATCAGTATATCCGAGTCATTAACCTCCGACGCTCATTGCTGACATCCAAATGGAACTTCCCCGCTTGCTCCAGGGTTGAATGACACCAGACACTACTTATCTCTGAAATCAACTGTAGACCAAGTCCCTCCATCGACGAGATAAATACCAGTCCAGCCTCCATGATCTAGCCATACTCACTCACAGCCAACCCCACAACCATACCATCAACTCACAACCACCCAAGTCACCACCATGTCCGCCGACATCCCAGCTGCCATGCGCACCTCGCTCGAAAACTCCAAATGCGAGTACCGCCGTCTTGGAAACAGCGGCCTGACCGTCTCTGTTCCCATCCTCGGATGCATGAGCTTGGGAGATAAAAAGTCCCAGCCATGGACGATTAGTGAAGACGAGGTGCGTCCATCATCCTACCCCAAATCACCCCTCACTAACCCCAAAGCACTAGGCCCTCCCCCTCCTCAAAGCCGCCTACGACTCCGGCCTCAACACCTGGGACACAGCCAACGCATACTCCAACGGTGTCTCAGAGACCATCGTCGGCAAAGCCCTCAAAACCTACAACATCCCGCGCGAAAAAGTAGTCATCTTGACAAAATGTTTCTGGGGCGTTTCCGAACAACCTGGTACAGCCCCCTCCCCTTGCCCCTCTCCTCTACCACATAACCTCAGTCCTAACACCAACCCACCCAGAAATCCTACACTGGTCTAATCGCCCCCCCATCGAACTCTCCAAAGACTACCAAAACCAATACGGCCTATCACGAACCGCCATCTTCAACCAAGTCAACGCGTCCCTTCGCCGCCTAGACACCCCCTACATCGACCTGCTCCAAATCCACCGCTTCGACACCACCACCCCCATCGAAGAAACCATGAAAGCACTGCACGATCTCATCACATCCGGAAAAGTGCGCTACATCGGAGCGAGTACCATGTACGCGACGCAGTTCGCGCGGATGCAATTCTGCGCGGAACGCAACGGATGGACCAAGTTCATCAGTATGCAGAATCAGTATAGTTTGTTGTATCGGGAGGAGGAGCGGGAGATGATTCGTTTTTGTAATGATACGGGCGTGGGGTTGATTCCGTGGGCGCCGTTGAATCGGGGGCATTTGGCGAGGAGGCCGGAGGGGTTTGGGGGGACGGTGAGGAGTGGCGAGGAGAAGGATTGGGGTATAGGGCTGGGGGAGCAGGATGTCAGGATTATTCAGAGGGTCGCGGAGGTCGCGGACAAGAAGGGGTGGACTATGGCGCAGGTGGCGTTGGCGTGGATTAATCGGCGGGTGGTGAGTCCGATTATTGGGTTTAGTAGTGTCGAGAGGATGGAGGAGGCGATTGCGGTGAGGGGGAAAGTGTTGACCGAGGAGGAGGAGAGGTTTTTGGAGGAGTTGTATAGGGCCAAGGAGGCTTTGGTGCCTGAGTTTCTTTAGATTGCCTGTCTGGTTAGTTAAGGAGCTGACTAGTTAATCATGCACTCGCAGCTGCTGACAAATTCAAAATGGACGAAAGTGATTCAGCCTGGTCACTGGACATTTCTATAAAAATAAATGGTAAGGCTTGCCAAGAGTTGCCCCTTTTTGCGATCTCTTGCCAGATACCGAGGGAGAGACATGGTAAGCTTTTTTCAGGGCAATTGGAATCGGTCTACACCACCCGGACGAATCCCTTGGCGGCCATTACAAGGATGGAGCGGAAAGGTTCGTAGCGCCAGAAGGCCACCTCGAATGTAAGTTGGAGCAGGATCAGGTCGAGGTGACGAATGTCAGACACGCAGATACACGTACTCTGGGTTCCCTTGGGACATACTGACGAGAATCCCTTCTGTAGCACCGTGGGAGTAGTATAGCAAATGGCTGAACAGCTAGGGCAAGCCATGGTTGCCAGTGTCACAATTGACCTGGACGGCGTCGGCGATGTCCCCAGTACGCTGATACTGCATAATATTTGCGTGTTGGACATGTATTTCCTGGAGTGCAGAGCTCTCGGTCTACCTAGATTATTTCAATGGACATGTCACTGCGATGATCTCCGGAGGTACCGTGCTAAAGACCCGGTTCCTGGATCAATCTTCATCAGTTCCTGCGGCAGAGAGACCTCACCCTCTAGCAGTTGGGCTCAGTGACTGCCTGAGTAAGTGCAGCCGGATGCATCACTCGATGCTCTTCGATTGGTTTGCCCACCTGGTCAGCCGTGGAACTCTGCTGGCACCTGTCCTGGAGTTTGTGCACGGGCAGGCGGGCAGCGAGCAACATCTGCAGGGTGTGGTTCAGACCCAGGCGTAGGATTCAGTTGGGCAACGCAAAGCCATGATCCTTCTTGAAAACCGATGGGCGGGAGGGAGGAATCAACTGTGTATCTTGAACTGTGTCGGACCTCAGGATGGAAATATTATGTGTGTCGATAATCTCGGATTCAGATGGCTTCGTGTCCATGATATCAACGGGTGGTGAATCTCGATCTGCCGTCAACCCTATGCGCTCAACCAGTTCACAGGGCATCTACACGGCACGACCCGTGTATCCACAAGCCCATAATAGCCCTGAGAACGCCATCTGGCCCAGCAATGGACCATCGGAGTATTCTTCTTGACCATCGATTAAGCCTGGTACACCCAATCATATCCGTGGGGAAACGCCACTGGTGCACGGCATAAGCACTAAAATCCACTAGTCAACGCTTGCCTGGTAATCCTCCAACCAGAGCCCTGGATAACGCGAGAATGGCGCGATCTGGGCACGGGAATCGGGCAGGGGTCACTTCCTGTCTTTGCGGCCCCATCCAATCGAATCTGATCCGAGTCCACCGACTAAGATCAATGTAGAAAGCCGACTGCAATTGATTAGTCTGGTTCCCTTGTTCCTCGGACAGACCAAATAGCCCCCAGATTTGTAATCCTCGGCCTTTCGCGCCCGACCGAGTCCGGCTGGGGATGAAGCTGCGCTGGACGAAGTAGTAGCCCTAACCCATATGCCCAACACCCTGTCACTCAACCACGCCAACCCTCCAATCACAATCCCTTTCTGCATGTTATACAGCAAGGCTGAAGGGTGACAGTTAGCTCCCGATGACAAATTCGTTTGGCCGAGGGATGTATAGATCCTATACAACTTCATATAACTATGGTCCCGATAGCAAACTGTATCGGCCTCAGTCACACACCACTCGGGCACCATGTCTCTTCCGTTGATGAATCCGGACGACAAACCTTCCACTCCTCCTTCATCTGCCCTGATGGTCGATTCGGATGCATCCGAGACGGAGAAGCAGCAGCCCGACACGGCGCCCCCGCCGCCTCCAGATAGCGGATTGACTGCCTGGCTGCAAGTGCTGGGAGCGTTTTTCCTATTCTTCAATTCATGGTACGTACCTAAAGAAACCAATCTTTCCTCCCTCCAGCACTTAACCAGCACGTAGGGGCATTCTCAACGCTTTTGGACCCTTCCAAAGCTACTACCAATCAACCCTCATTCCCAACGACGACTCCTCGCAAATCACATGGATCGGCACCTTCCAAGGCTTTATCCTATTCCTGGTAGGCGTGATTGTCGGCCCCATCTTCGACAAGGGATACCTGCGCAGTCTTGTCGCGATCGGGACATTCATGGTAGTATTCGGCATGATGATGACTTCGCTCGCGACCAAATACTACCAGCTCTTCCTAGCACAAGGCGTCACGGTAGGAATCGGCTGCGCCTTTCTCTTCCTCCCCAGCATCGCCATTGTGGCCACGTACTTCACCTCCCGCCGCGCCGTCGCCACGGGCATCACCGCGTCCGGCGGCAGTATCGGCGCCGTGATCTACCCGATCATGTTCCATAAATTGATCGACAAGGTCGGGTTTGGCTGGACGACGCGCATCATCGGGTTTGTCGCTCTCGCTGGCCTCATCGTGCCCTTGGTCGTCTTGAAACGTCGTCTGCCTCCGCCTGCGCAAAGCCGCTCTCTCATCGACTTCGCGGCTCTCAAAGAACCCCCGTTCCTTGTCTTCAGCTTCGGACTGTTCTTCAGCTTCGTGGGCCTTTACTTCCCCTTCTTCTACCTGCAGAGTTACTTCACCTATTACCTCCACAACGACAGCAGTCTCGCCTTTTACATCTTCTCCGTCCTCAACGCCACCTCCGTCGTGGGCCGCATCACCCCTGGAATCCTCGCGGATCGCTTCGGCGGCCTGAACACACTCATTCCCATTAGCATCCTCGCCACCATCCTCGGGTACGTCTGGTTAGCGGTCGACAACGTAGGCGGAACTGTGGTCTTCACCTGTCTGTATGGCTTCGCTTCGGGGGCCATTGTCTCCCTCCCGCCATCCATTGTCACCCGCATGTCTCCAAATATGGGCGTGGTCGGGACCCGTCTCGGGATGATCTTCATGTTCGCCGGATGTGGGTTTCTCATCGGGACCCCGTGCGCCTCGCTCTTGTTGGATCTGGAGACTGGAGAGTTTTGGAAGGGTCAGGTGTTTACGGCGACGTTTTTGGCAGCGGGGGCGATCTGCTTTGCTTTGGTGCGCGCGATGTTGTGGCGGGGGAATATAGGGTGGAAGATTTGAGATCTGATGTGAGGCATTAGAGGTGTTTCCGATGTGCTGGAAGCACGGATTTTGGTTGTAGATCAGCATATAGGACTGGATGTTGCATATTGGCGTCTTGTGTTCGTTGTTCTTTCTTGATCAAGTGTGATATGTGATCATGCGTGCATCGTCAACAAGTGAACTGTCCTATTCGAACAGTCAGTTGTTCCCAATTATCCAAGAGCAAAGAATAATAGATCTCTTACCTACCAAGCGAGGAGAAGCGAAGAATAAACCACAAATCCCATCCTGTAGTGGGTCTTTTAGCCATGAACCAAATCTCACGATCGTGGGTAGTGGAGTTACCAAATCCACCACCTTCACCCGTCGACAACACGTACCCATACTGCTTGATCCATCACTTATCCGGCGCACATTTGGCTCACTGAGCTTAAGCCTGACGAAGCATATAAGTTAGTGTAAGGATAAAAATACTACATACGACCACAGGGTGTGGAGAACAGGGCTTCCCGTCCGCTCAGCCGTACTTAAGCCACACGCCGGGAGGTTAGTAGTTGGGTGGGTGACCACCAGCGAATCCCTTCTGTTGTATGTTTTTTACCTTTTTTTGGTCGTCATGAGGAATTGACAGGGAATGTGTATGAAGTGTCGTGCTTGTTTTGTACTCACGAGATGGTAGGTTGGTCCCCGAGTTGATCCAGATCTCGTGATGTGTCGATCCATCTGCACCGCTGGGTTTGTGAGGGTCGGCAGGTATTCGTTCGGGTGGAACTGAAAGAGTAAATAGCGAATGGCACATTTTTTTCAATTAATAACGATGGTGATGGAGTTGCTGTGGCTCAGTATAACTTCTGGAGAGATTATACCCTCTCATTCAACCGGGACGCTCCAAGAACTCAAAGTGGGGTGTCAGTACCGCACTGTTTCGAAGGTAGGGTATAGAGGTTACAACGCTAGTCCCAGTACTCCACCAAGCCCTACCCACGATATCAGAAACATGGCTACTTCCACGGTCGACATGGCGTCTGATTACAGTGGAGTATTCTCGTCCGATCGGTATCTATGCTTTATTGCAGGTTAGTTCCAGTCAGGTATTCATTTAGCTTAGTTCAGTGGACTGGAAGGACCGCCGTAGATGCTGTATGCTTGCCACTCGACTAAAGGCACGACCCGTCTCCAGCTCGATCTCTCGGGGATCTGATAGACACTTGCTTTGGACAGCTCGAAGGAGAAAGCGGGCACACTGCCTCCTATGAAAGCTATAAAAAATTAGATGTAGTTTCGAGCGTAACCAAGTCTCGGGAACGATATCCAACCGACCCGGGGCGTACCAAAACCCACTATTCTGTCTAGGCGGCCCATGCGGTAGTTTTGTGTAAGGATTATGCGGAGATAGTGTGATCGTTGGATCGAAAAGTGGCACAGACATCTGCAGAGTGTGATTGACTGGAGTCGGCATTTCCACGCCGTTGGCTCCACCCAGCTGTCATCCGTAGGGCGTGCGGATAGTATCGGATCGGCTATTAGTGCGAGGGATGTCGATGGGCGGCATTCTGTCCAAACCAGGCTGAAGATGTGAGTGTACTGCATGATTGGTGGATTTCATAAGCCGTGGTATGCTCTTGCTATGTGCCAAGATGTTATCGCTGCCATCTCGTTCCTTGTGCATCCTAGACTATATTCCTTAGCTTGCCTGTTTGAGAACTAACCCCTCTTCCCTGGAGACTCCCCAACTCTTGTCGCTACCCTGATTATTCCCATTGCTGGAGGGCGCGGTCAGACAACTCGAAAATCAAGTGGCGTAGACTCGTGATTGACAGAATACGGGTGTCACGCATGACGCCCAATTCGAGACTAATCCTTTCAGGTCCTCCCTCTCCTGGATTTCTCGGAGCATTTCGGTAAAATCGTCCAGTCCCTCCTCACTCATCTGCCTGATGAAAAGCAGCTGCTTCGTGAGCCAGTTGTCCTCCTGATCAGCCTCCGGGATGGCCATACCTCCTTCGCGGATGGTGATCATCGGCGTGAACATGACCAGGAGAAGCCTCTTTCTATCGGTAGCATTTTTCTCCTCCAGTCCCTCACCTAGCTGACTATGGACCGCCTCATACCATGCGGATTCAATCTTCGCTGCAAGAGCGTCGAAAGCGGAATTGGGTCGAGCTGGCGATGTACGGACAATGCCGACTATATGGTTGGAGTTGGTGAGGCGAGGCCGACCGGCCATGAAATAGTTGCCGTCTCTTGCATCGTGTGGGATGAAGCGTATGTGAACGAAGAAAGATGGAGTGGTGAATGTCTCACAGTGTAGATTGGTAATGGCAGTGGCGAGAGTTTGACGCTGTTCGTCTGTCAAGGGATAGGAGTGGTATACCTTGTAGAGTGGCATGTTGCTGGCTGTAGGAAGCTTTATGGGGACGTTCTTGACCGGACACTCGCTTCGTGTGAACGTGGCCGGCGAAGCAGGGGCGAGGGTGTCAAGGATCTTAAATAGACGATCTGGCGGAGCATGAACTCATCAAGTTAGCTCCAATCAGTCTGCCTTGAGGGGTATTATTGAATGATGTGTGCTTGCAGGAATCCTCCCTCCGATGCAGCCAAACCCAGACATCCATCAATCGAGGTGGTCAGACCAAAAGGCCCAGTAAGGACTGAGCTGAAGCTGTGACCCACCACCCTAATACTCCGATAGAAGCGAGTATGCTTCATGGATTGAAGCAGCCATCGAAAACCGTCCTAAAGCATTAGCCAATCAGTCCTGATATACCAACGGCGGGTGCCGGTGTCTATTCTATGGCCAGATAGTGCACAGCGATGTGTCCATAAGCAAGATCATGCTCCGTACCTCTGCTCCGTGCTGCATCCAGGACCTCCTGGCAAGCTCTCTGATCATTCAGTCCCGCCATGTCTGGGACATCTATCCGGGTTGTCGCGCACTGTCTGGACGAGGCGATGCGGCTGACACCCTTTGTAAACGGCGTAGCCCTAATCAGATGTATCTCAGGTTAGTCTCACTGTTTGATGCTTCGAGTCCGACTAACCTTGACGTGGAGTCCAAGATACAGCTGTTGGCCCCGTAGCCCTAACTCACCAGCTGTCTGTCGCCTCCCTCTCGATAGCAAGAACATGGCCATCTTGACCATCAGGCAGGTGGGATAGACACACCTTCCTCATCGAGCACTTTCATCATCTTGTCCCTGCCTTGCTCACGACGCTCCTTCCTCACAAGATACGGCCTGGCTTCATTCCAGTTCTCATATCTATCGGTTGCTTTCCCATTTCCTCTTCTTTTCCTTCTCTTCTTCTCCTTTTCCCCTTTTTCCCCCATTACCATTGTTGGTTGCTTTTATGCGTCTTTTTAGTCGTATAATATCTTCTGATTTTGATATTTGCCCCTCTGCCTCCCTCCCCGATGTCGTCCCCCTCCTCTTCTCTTAGAGGACCCCGTTTGATGGGTGTTCCTCGCCTTTCCCCTCTTCCTCTCTTCTCTCTCCCCCCCCGCGGACAGCTGGACCCGGTACGTCCTTCTGTTCGCTCCGCTCCGGTCGGTCTCCGACAGTCCTCTCCTTTGCCCGCGTTTCCGGGCGTCCGATCTTTCGCTCAGGTGAGCACTTCCGTTCCTTTCGTTGAGAAGCCTCGTTGTTCTGTTTCCGTTTCTGTTTCTTCTGTTTCTTCGTCTGCTTCTTCGTCTGTCTCTTCCGGTTCTTTTGTCTCTCCTTCTGTGGGTTCACCCACGTCCTCTCGTTCTCCTACCAGTTCTTTGCGGTATCTTCGTCGCTCCTCGTCCTCTTCCCCCTCCTCCCCTGCCACTCGTTTGCCCCTAGCCACTCGTTCCCGTGGTAAGTCGTTCCTGGAAAGGTTCGACGCCACACACTCCCCTTACCCTCGTTCCCCCAACGCTCGTTTGCCTTCCGTGGTCACGGCCACGTCCATTCCTTGTCCTGTGGTGGTACTTCGGGCCACCGTCCCTCATTTGTATCGTCGTCCTTCGGACACCGCGTCCGCCCCCTCCCCGGCCCCTCGGGCCACCCCCAGTCAGTCGTTTCTGCCTCGTCCTGTTGTCGCTCGTTCTGTGGCTTCGGCCTCTTCCTCTCCTTCTCCCCGCCCTTGTGGCACTTCCATTCCTTGTCCTGTGGTGGTTCCTCGGGCCACCTCCCCTCGTTTGTACCGGTGTTCTTCGGGCACCTCCCCCTTCTCCTCTTCCTCGGTCCCTCGGGCCACTGCCTCTCGTTCTTTTCTTCCTCGTCGTGTTGTGGTCTCGGCCACGTCCCCTCCTTCAGCGCCCCTTTCCCGTGGTTGTTCGTTCCTTCAAAGGTTCGACGCCACTCACCCCCACGTTCGTTCCCCCTCCACTCGTTCTGTGCCTTCTGACACGTCCTGTCCTTCCCCTTGCCTTTCCCGTGGTCAGTCGTTCCTGAAAAGGTTCGACGCCACACACCCCCCCTCCACTCGTTTGCCTGTCCCTCGTTTTTCTGTCTCTCCTTCGGTCCCTTCTGCCCCGGTGGCTCCGGCCACCACTTCCTCTCGTTTACCTGTTCCCTCTTCTTCTGTGCTTCGCACGTCCCCTCGTTCAAACAAGCCCAAAAAGTCCGTTCGTTTTGTTGAGACCACCACTACGGTGGTGGTCAGTCGCTGGATTGTGAAGTCGCGGGATGTCCACAAGAACTGGTAGTCTTTTGTTTTTCCTTGTTTCCTTGTTTCCTTGTTTTGTAACAGGCTTCTCTTCGTTGCGTTTTGGTCACTCCTTGTTTGCTTTTTCTGTATGCCTTATCCTGTATGTTTTATCTTTTTTTCTCTCGACTTGGTCGTACCGGGGCCAAGCCGGGATCCTTTACTGCTGAGCCAGGTCACAGGCTAGGGCACGAGACGGCACGGAACCCCGGAGGGTGATCGAGGCACGACGGATTCCTATCAACGATACGTACGGCTACCAACGAATGTCTAGCGCCGAACTCCGCTGTGATACGAATGCAGGTTCCACTCCCTTTCGCTCCGACTTCGATAACGGTACACAGTACGACAGCATCAAGCGGGCGACCAATGCGGGTTCGGTTAGCGACAACATTCTGCGGCGTGATCGGCTATCGATGGAATTTCGACTGTCAACGGCTCGAGGAACGGGTTCGCGTGTTCGGGGGATCCGGGGGAGGGATATCTTCGGATATCGGGGGGGGTTTCCCGGTAAGTCTTTTCCCTCCTTTCTTTTGTTCTTTTGTTTTCTTCTTAGCTAGGTTTGTTTTTCTGGCGAGTTTTGTTCTTTCTGGCGAGTCTTTTCTTTTCTTTCTTGCTTTTTTCTTTTCTTCTTGGCGAGTTTTGCTTACCTCTTAGCTAGTTTAGCTAGATTAGCTAGTTTTGTTTCTTTGGGCGAGACTTTTCTTTTCCTTCTTGCTGTTAGTCTTTTCTTCTTGGCGAGTTTTGCTTACTTTTTAGCTAGTTTAGCTAGTTTTTTTCTTTGGGCGAGTTTTGTTTCTTTGGGCGAGTTCTTTCTTTTCTTTCTTGCTTTTATCCTTTTCTTCTGGGCGAGTTTAGCTTACTTCTTAGCTAGTTTTGTTTCTTTGGGCGAGTTTTGTTTCTTCTTAGCTAGTTTTGTTTCTTCTGGCGAGTTCTGTTTTTTCTGGCGGGCGTTGGTCGGTTGGCTGTTGTTTTTCTTATGTCTGGTGTTTGTGGGAGGCGCTCGGGCGAGCTGGCAGGGGTCGTCTTTTCTTATGTTTCCTTGTTCTGTCTGCTGTTTGTTGTATCCAGTTTCATTCCTGTTTTTCCTTGTGACTGTTGTCTGTTGTCTGTTGTCTGTTGTCTGTTGTCTGTTGTCTGTTGTCTGTTGTCTGTTGTCTGTTGTCTGTTGTCTGTTGTCTGTTGTCTGTTGTCTGTTGTCTGTTGTCTGTTGTCTGTTGTCTGTTGTCTGTTGTCTGTTGTCTGTTTTCTTTGTCTTCTGGTTGGTGTTCTTGTATCTCGTTGTTTTTCTGTCTGTTCTGTCTGTTCTGTCTTTCCTTCTTTTGTTGTGTGTGTTGGTTTTTCTGTTTTTCAATATTGTGTACTCAGTCTTGTCTTTCTTCATACTTTTAGTGGGTGGTATGTGGGCGGCTATTTATGTACTTTTCTTTTGTTTTCTGTATCCTGTCCTGTCTTTCTTTGCTTTGTTGTATGTGCTCATGCTTATGTTTTTCGATATTATGTACGCAGTCTTGTCTTTCCTTGTTTTGTTGTGTGTGTTCATGTTCATGTTTTTTGATATCATGTATCCTGTCTTGTCTTTCCTTGTTTGGTTATATGTGCTCATGTTTATGTTGTTTTATATCATGTACTCAGTCTTGTCTTTCCTTGTTTTGTTATGTGTGCATCTGTGATTGTGTCCTACTTCATGTATCCTGTCTTGTCTTTCTTTATACTTTTTATGGGTGGCATGTGGGTGGGCATATGTACTTTTCTTTTATTTCATGTATCCTGTCTTGTCTTTCCTTACTTCTGTTGTACATGCTCCTGTGCATCTTGTCCTTGTCATGTATTCTTTCCTGTCTTTCTTTGGCTTACCTGTCTATTCTTCTTGTTCTTTTGTGTTGATATCTTCCTGTTCTCATGTATTTCTTTGTCTTCTTGGCTTTTTATATGTTGATCTGTACCTTGTGGTGTTGTCCTGTGGTGTGTATATTGGCTGTGTGTGGGTTTGTATTTTCTTTCGTCTTTACTTTTTGGGTCTGCTTTTGGGTCTGTTTTGGGTCTGTTTTGGGGTTTGCTTTGTATGACAGGTTTTGTGGGAGGATCATGAGGGTTTGCTTTTTTTCCTGTATTCTCTGGGCCCGGCGCGGTCACAGAATTCATGTTCTTAGTTAGGGGGCTGTGGCTTCGCGTCACCCCGACCCCACCCCACACTCGTTTGTATCTCCAGGCCTTGGCCATGGGGTTTTTGTAGTAGATAGGGAGTTGTGTCTGTAATGGTCACTTGCGCTCCACATTACGTTCCTGGTCGTAGATCCTTGTAGATTGTAGTCTGTTTGAAGTATCCATCCCGGACTCGCTCACTTGGCTCAGAAATAGGTAGCTAGATGAGAAGGTCCAGACCCGTGGTCTCTTGGTTTTTCTGCTCGATAAGTAAGCATCAGAAGACGTGCGCCTAGGATAGGTATGCTACTTGCATTGCCGATGATGAATGTTGATAAATGATGCCTAGTACTGCTGGTGCTCTTCCATCATCCCGGTGTGCCGGTGGATGCATCGTGGAGAATATATTAGGAAACAGAGTTTACATGCAAGGGCCATTAGGGCGATCCCTACGATTGATATGAGGTAGCAAAACAGTTGAATTGTCTATGGTTAATTGTTGGTAGCCTAGTTGCGGGAGTTCGGGGACTTAGGGCTAGGAAGTGAGCATATGGTCTGCGGGAACGGGACTTGGCATGAGCGACTCGCAAGGAGTTGATGATGACGTGCCTACAGACTAAATTCTACGATTCCCGGGGGAAATAAAAAGAAATATTGCAAACTAAACCTCATAGGAAGGAGGTAAGTGATGAATAGAATGGACAAAATGACAAGAGTGGGATTCGAACCCACGCCCCTTTCGAGACTAGGAATATTCCGAAGAACATGTGAGATCAGATAAACCTGACCCTAGCGCCTTAGACCGCTCGGCCATCTTGCCTGGTTGATGAATTAACTCACCATTTAGTGTTATAGAAGGGAGTAGTGCCACTCGAACATGAGGGCTGCATGAACATTGAGAAATCGCGATAATTGGGATTGTGGGAACGATATTGTTCAGAACGATTACATTTTGAAGTGCTGACGGGGATTGTTACATTGTATGTGATTACCGAACCCCCGACAGGAAAAGTTTTTCCTACTGTTGAGGTAAAATCTGTGCCCCTGCGGATCGGGAAGGCGTGCTATATATTTGTGAACCCGCTCCGTTCTATGGTATCGATTCTCCTCGCCATGATCGACCACAAGAGGAAGACTACACCTAGTATTCGTAGCATACGACAACAACATACCTACGATGTTAGCCAAGCTATAACAATTAGTTCCCTTCATACCCCTGGTGAGCCCGTCGCAACCACACTACCAGCCAACTTGGTCTACAAAGCTAAGAGGGACCAATAATTTCAGCAGTAGATTCAAGAAATCAGCCATAGCCCTTGATCGTCGATAAATCTATATACCCATCAGTCAGTTAGCTGTAGAGTATCTGGTACTTTTTCTTTCACTCTGAGTGCTGGCCCATCCGAGGTCAAAATTGGAAGCCGACATCAGACCGAATCAGGCAACTACCCTGATCGGCGGCCAAAACCCATCCATACCCGCCGACACCGGGCTCAAGAAGAAATGAGGAAATGAATTGGATCCCGAGACGTTTATTACACCCTCTATACCAGTATCTCGAAGGGATATGTCCCTTTAATCGACGTGGTAACAACCCTGACATGAAACAACCCACAAAGAGAAACCGACCAGTTATATACTGCTGCTATCCGCATAACAAAGAACCCAATCACCACAAGAGCGGGACCCAACCCAGCACTTCCGCCATCGTCAGCATGACACCTCCTCCATACCCCGGATTATTAAAGGAAACAGCATAGCCACACCCAGTCATAACGACATCACCTTCTCCACAACCTTAAATCAACGTCCTACCATCCCACAACCCAGCCTAAATTAACACAACCTCCAAGTAACTCCTCCACTAACCCCACCACCTACGCTTATCCACCTCCCTTATTACCAACAATATTAGCTTAACTTTTTACCTCCACCTCATACAAACCGGCAAGATGGCCGAGCGGTCTAAGGCGCTAGGGTCAGGTTTATCTGATCTCACATGTTCTTCGGAATATTCCTAGTCTCGAAAGGGGCGTGGGTTCGAATCCCACTCTTGTCAGAGCTTTTTTTGTTTCTTTTCCCAGCGTTAAATGTATCTAACAACATGAACACACACACACACACACACACGCGGAGGGAAACCAAACACACTTCTATACCTATTTTTGTTTTCTTCCCGTTTTGTATCCGTGTTACATGCCCAGATCTCAGGCCCATGTTCATCATATCCTATTCCTTCCATGATTTCCCCCCCTGCGCATCGATGCTGCTAGCTGTCAGAGTACGGAATAACCGGACAATATGCGACCGTCCAAAATGGTAGCAGCCGAGTGATAATCGCCCACTAGCGAACACATAGGACACACTAGTTACGATGAGTAGTCGCTAGCCCTGCAAATGATCCCATCAATCTGTCACAGATCGACCGAGTGATGGCATCGATCGATGTATGTGCGCTTCCCCGCTCGGTTGAAAGCCAGCACGGTCGCGAATCCCAAACTGAGTGGGGAGGATGTGTCCGACCCCGATCATGATGCATAGAGTAATGGTGCAATGGGTCCTCGGGTTGCTGCACCTTTTATTCCCAACTGTACGGAGTACAGTTACCAGCATCATCTTGCCCCTGACTGCCCTCCAGATTCTCCGGCGGTCCTCCCCGTAGGGTAGCGGAAGGCCCGGATCCCTCAGAGTCGAAACACGGCTGTCTTTGATGATTCTGGCCTGCTGCACTAGTGCAGGCTAGAGATGTCCCTACTTTTCAGATAGTCCGACTGTCATCCTGTCAGCCCATCCCCGGAGGTTGACGGGGAAGCGACGGAGGGAGGCGATATGAACCAGGCCCCCGATTGGTGGAGGACAAAAGTACCCGGCATCCCTCCCCGGCCGGCCTGCTTCCCGGCTTAGCGGTTCTCAGTTCTTACCACCATCTACCAGCACCAGCATCTCCCGCCTGTCATCGAGATTGTGCCCCGAGAACTATCTCTCCAGGATGGCTCGCCTTGATCCGATGGCTTACGGGGCATTCCATCATATCAGGAAGGGAAAACAAAAAGTGGTCATCCGGCCGGGTCGGCGTAGTGCGTCAACCAGTCCATACTAGTCCGGTTCCCCTGCAAGCCACTGAGACTAAACGACATGGGTTCTTCCAAGTTCCAAGTTTCTAATCCGCGCAACCCCTGATAGATACTACCCCCGTCCCGCGTTCCGACGCTATGCGCGGCCCAGAAACTCTCCGATAATGCTGAGGTACTTCTCGCAGTCATCGAACTGGGGGCAATGCGAGCTGTCCGCCAGGGTGATCCACCGCACCTTATCGATTCCCCAGAAGAGCGGTTCCACCGCACTGTCCTGTGCTTCGTCGTACTTGCCATTGATCACCAAGGTAGGGACCTGGATCTGATGCAGGCGGTCCAGCCCGCTCCAGTCCTTGAGGGAGCCTTCAATCCAGAATTCGGAGGGGCCAAGCCTGCGGTCGTTAGCACATGCATGACGTCGAGGTCGAGGCGATGGTGGGAAGCAAGGAGAGAGCACGGGAATCAGATGCTCGGCAACCTACATGGTGGACACGATGGTGGAATCCTTTTCCGTGGCCCAGACGAGGCTCTGCATGAGCTCCTCGGGCCAGGGTTGCGCCCGACAACAGAACCGGGAGAGGAACTCCACTGTCGCATCCTCGTACTCCTTGGACTCGAGCCGACCGTCGGCCTCACAGCGCTGTAGCGTGTCTTGAATCTCCTGGGGCAAGGTGGCGCGGAGTCGATTGACCGATTCCAGCCACAGCGCGGCCGACGCCGGGGTGTTGGATAGAATCAGACGGCGCAGCCCAGTCGGTTGACGAGCGGCAAAATCCAACCCCAGCATGCCACCCCAGGAATGGCCTAGCAGGTCGAAATTGCCGGCAATGCCGAGCTGTCGGAGCAGGCTCTCCAGCTCGGCGATGAAGAGGCTGACAGTCCAGAACTCCTGATCGCCCCGTTTCTCCGGATAATGGGAGGACAGCCCGTTTCCGATCTGATCGTACAGGATGACAGGGCGGTCGGATGCCAACGCGGCCAAGGGCAGCATGTAGTTATGGCAAAAGCCCGGACCGCCATGCAAGACGACCAAGGGGGTTCCCGCCTGGAGGTCGCCGTAGATCCGATACCAGGTCTGGGCCGGCTTGGGCAGACTAGCATACGCGAATTCAACGGTGCCTTCCTGCGCGGGAGTGGTCGCCATGATTGGGGAACTGGATGGGGGGGGGGGAGGAAGGGGTCAACAACACCGCAATAATGGTAATGACAATGGACAGGAGGTTGAATTGAAGGGGGGGAAAAGGATCAGACAAAGAAAGCATCCCGTCTTAACCTCCGGGGCACTGAGGGATTCGCCGAGATTACCCCATCGTACGACCAGTCCGTTTCATGAGACAACCCCCCCCCCACTGGGATTGGGAAGAGTTAATTAGATCGGTAGGTCTCCGACCTAACTCCGCTCCTATCTATCTATCTATCTATCGACCGGCCGTCGAGGTGGTTACCAGGTGGTTGCCATGTGGAGATCCGACAGATCCAGTCGTTGACCCCTTGTCTATCAGCTAACATTGACTCCGTATCTCTGCCAACTCCTAAGCATGAGGCCCCGGAAATTGGAATCTCTTGACTGGCGGACAAAAGCACCCAAGCACGTCACGCTGGAAGGGACGGCGCGGGCTGTCGGCCCAACTACTGAGCCCTAGTGGATTTGGGAGCCTCCACCCCCGATCCTTCCGCCAGGTTAGATCGACCATGCAAGGCCCAATCGTGATCGAACAGCATCAAAATGACCAGACAGGGTTCTTTAATGACTCTTGGCAGCTGCGATGGCCCAGTTCCCTTTTTATCGCTCCCTCTCGCTTTCAACCCCAACGCAAGGCATGCCATCCATCAACAGGACCCCTCGGCAGCGATGGTTGTGGTCACGGATACCAACCGTTCCCCCGTCATTGGGATCCTGGCCTGGCTGTTTCTGGTGATTTCGATATTGGCAGGGGCCGCACGCCTCGTGATCAAATATGCCATCGCCCGGGCGTTCACCATGGATGACTACTTGATCTCCGTGGCGATGGTGAGTTTTCCCCCGAAGCGTCTTGGTGTGGAGCTAACTTCTAACCACCGCGATGTGCTACAGGCGCTCAGTGTGTTACAAACAGCATGTGTATCAATCGCTGCCCGTCATGGCCTTGGACAGGAACAGAGTGCTTCTTCTCACGGTCAACTGGAGGCCGCGCTGAAGGTGCTCCCATCCCCCCCCAAATGCTAACACACCAGGTTGGGGTTCCACTTGCGCTGACGTTGGGTTCTTCTACAGTCCGTGTACGCCGCCGAAATGCTCTACGTCGCCTGCCTGACATTCGCGAAGCTGAGCGCTCTGATGTTCATGACCTTTCTCATGCAGCGCACCCGCACGGTTGAATGGGGACTTGTCGTGTTGATTAGCGCATGGGCGGTGGTGGCGGAATTCGCCGTGGCTTTTCAATGCGATCTCCCACGGCCGTGGAGTTGGGTGGACAATAAGTGTTTCGATCGGGTGAGATGCGTCCAGCGTCCCCCTCCCCCGCAAGGATGGCCCCAGACTGACCCGATGCTTAGGAGGCGTGGTGGCAATTTTTCGGGGCCATGAATGTCCTCACCGAACTAGCCCTCATCGTCGTTCCTAGCCTCCTCGTCCTCCAAATCCAAATGGCGGTCGCGAGAAAGACCGTGGTCATTGGCTGTTTCCTCACTCGCCTCCTGTAGGTTGCCCGTGATCCCGCCGCTGATCTTGATGAATGGACACTGATGCCCTTGTGCCTTACAGGGTGGTGGGTGCGATTGTCACGGAGCTTGTGTACCGCGATAGAAGCAAGAACGCTCAGGATCCCATGCTGGCTGTCTGGGTGGTCACGATCTGTGCTCAGCTGGTGCAGTGCCTGGCCATCGTCGCGGCGTGCATCCCCCATCTGAAGCCCTTCATGGATGGGCTACAGTCCACTGGGCTTCGACTATACTACCTCCCCGGCGAGCGGTCTCGACGGACGGACTATGCCTACGGGAGCAAGGAACAGAGTGTCGGGCACGAGCTCAGCGGGCTGGCCGGGGTGGTCAACCGAACCACGGTGTTGGCAGGGCAGCGACAACGGGACTGGGATGACGCCCTCAGCCAGACCAGCCAAAGCCGGATTATTCGCGAGACCAAGACGTGGGTTGTAGAGGAGCAGTATCATCCCGAGGCGGCCGTCAGCCGGATCACGGACAATGCGTCCAGCGTCAGCCACGGGCTGCCCGAATCGACGACTAGTACTACCGACTAGCGCCAGCAGCGCCGTGTGTCTCACAGGCCACTATAGAATAGCCCTTGTGAATGCAGGAGCCGGGCTCCACAGGTTGATTGGGAACCTCCAAGAACGGGAAAGCAGGGCTGCGCCACCAAGACGCCGTTCTCCACCGGTCACTTTGTTAAAGTTTTAAGCTGCATGGGCTTGCCCGCCCAGTGGGTCAGCGACTTTTTTTTTTTTTTTTATATCTCTTTCTTTAGTGTCAGGCCCGGAACCTGACCCGTCCGCCGCGCCTACGAAAGTCCGACGGGGCCGTCGATCCCCGGAAGCTGGAAGCTTAACTCTCCAGACTAGGGCAAGACACTCGGAGGGACGTTGCCCCCCGACGGACCCGCGGCGTAAGGTTGGGGGCCTATAATGCCCGGGCTTATATAGAGGAAATTCTTAGCTTCTTCCTGGCCTCCTGCCACTGGGATTTCCTTGGAGTGGAGCTGCTACTAGTACTTCCCTGGAAGGGCTCCCGCGATACCCCCCTGCTTGCCATTCTGTCATGCGAGCCATCCCCCCCCGGTGGCTCAGCTGGTCGCGGACTTTTCTTCTTTCTTTCTTTCTACCTTCCCCTCGCTCCTGCTTGCCTCCAAATATAGGGGTCGGCAGAGGCAAGCCACGAAGGATTTCTTGCATCGGTTTTTCTTTTTGCTTCTTTTCATTGCTTCTTTCTGTTCCGCCCCCCCCCCCTCTTGCTTCAATTGGCTTTCCCGCATAGGGTTGATCAATCCCGAAAAGCAACGCCAACATGCAGGAGTCGGTTGAGCTGCGCGACCGGCAGTGGGATTCCAAAGGTGCCAGCAGTAGTCAATCGCGAGTCCACGATGAGCAGGGTCTGGGACGAGTGGGTAAAAAGCAGATTCTCAAAGTAGGTCCGCACCCCCCCCCTGTGTGCCACTGACCGTCTCTGATCTGGGTCTCGCAGCGTCGATTTGGGTTTCTGTCGATCTTAGGCTTCAGTTGTACCATCCTAGCCTCCTGGGAGGGGGCCTTGTCGTGCGTATCTTCCCACGCACCGGTCGCTGGGGGCGGAGGGGGCTAACTGCATCACTCATCTCTAGCACCTTCACCATCTCCTTCGAAGAGTACGTTTGAGTCCTGCACGATGGGAGTACCGGCAATGCATTTAACAGTGAACTCCGTAGTGGCGGCCCGGCCGGAACCGTTTACAGTTTTCTGGTTGTCTGGCTGGGAACATTTTCCACCTTCGTCACCCTGTCCGAGCTGGTTTCGATGTAGGCTCCCCCGCGATGGCGTTCTCAGGTCCCTCCCACGTTGACATGGCTGGATGCGCAGGGCTCCTACCTCGGGCGGGCAATACCACTGGGTGTCGATGATGGCCCCCCGGTGGTGTCAGAAGTACATCAGCTTTCTCACCGGTTCGTTTGTCATGACCCCGGGTGCGATTCCCCGATCCCCTGTCCCCCTTACTGACGCCATTTGACCCCCTCTAGGCTGGTTGATCGTGATCGGCTGGCTGGGCGCGTTCACGTCCACTTGCTATCTGAGTGCCTCGGAGATTCAGGGCCTGGTGGTGCTGAACCACGCGTCCTACGTCGCCGAGCCGTGGCAAGCCGTGCTGCTTTTCTGGGCTATTGTGGCGTTCGCCGTGTTTGTCAATGTGGTCGCCAGTACCATGCTGCCCAAATTCGAAGGGTTTGTCCTGATCTTGCACCTGGTCGGGTTTTTCGCGATCATCATCCCCCTGTTGTACCTGGGCGAGCACAACCCCGCGTCCGAGGTCTTTGGGCAGTTCGCCAACGAAGGCGGCTTTCCAACGCAAGGCTTATCCTTTATGGTGGGCATGGTGGGGAATATGTTTGCCTTTACCGGCGCCGATGCCGCCGTCCATGTAGGTTTGCGCCGAAATCCATTGCGCGGTGGCGTTTGTCTGCGGTCTGACTGACCCGGTTCGGCAGATGAGTGAAGAAATCCACGACGCCGAACGCGTCGTGCCGCAGTCGATTCTCACCTCGGTCTTGATCAACGGCCTGTTGGGCTTCGGTATGACCTTGTCGACGCTCTTCACCATGACCAATTCCACGGCCGCCCTGGAGTCACCCACGGGGTACCCGTACATGCAGATCTTCTGCTCGGCCACCAAGTCCATGGGGGGTTGTACCGTGATGTCGGCCATTGTGCCGATCTTGGTCACGGCCACGGCCGTGGGATCGTTGGCCTCGTCCTCCCGCATGGTGTGGTCGTTTGCGCGAGACCGGGGTCTCCCCGGATGGCGATTCCTCAGCAAGGTCTCCCTCTTCCCCCCTCCCTTCCTCCCTGGTGCCTCGTGTGTTCGCGTCGCCCGCTAATGCTTCGCATCCCCGCAGGTTAACGCCCAAGCCGTTCCGCAATACTCCATCCTCGTGGTCACGGTCGCGGCCGTCCTGCTGGCGCTGATTATTCTCGGCTCCGCCGCGGTGTTGAACGACGTCGTCTCCCTCTGCGTGAGCGCCCTCTACACCTCCTACCTGTTCTCGGCCTTCCTCCTCATGTGGAAGCGCTGCACGGGCGGGATCCGCGAGCCCTCCGACACGCCCAGCGATACCATCGTGAACACGCCCGGCGCGCCGCTGTCCTGGGGCCCCTTTCGCATTCGTGGCGCGCTGGGCATCGTCGTCAATGGGTTCAGCATCGCCTATCTGACCATCGGGGTGTTCTTTAGCTTCTGGCCGGATGAGATGAACCCGACCGCCAGCACGATGAACTGGGCGGTGGTCGGCACCGTGGGCACCAGCCTGATCAGTACGGTGTACTATGTCCTGTGGGCCCAGAAGGAGTATACGGGGCCGGTGGTGGAAATCGATCGCTATGGGTGAATACGAGGCACCCCGGTAAATAGAATTCGGCGTCGAGGTCCCTGGACAATGATTCTGTACGCGCCATGCCGGCTGGAAAGAAAGACATCCTGTATCACGTTGGTAGGGGGACAGATAATACAAAACAATTGATAGCCGTGAAGTTCTGGATGCGATTTCCTTTCCCTGGGCGACCTGCCGCGAGTACAGCTCTCACATGATCCCCCATGGCACCCATGGACAGTCTCGATGGCACGGGGGGGGGTGTGGTGGGTGCCGGAGGCGCCTGCGACCGAACAGCCCAGAATGATGACCGAGTAGTCCCGGGATAAAGGGTTTCTTCCCCGAAGGGCCAATAAGAGCGTGCTTCCGGCACGGGGGTGGGGGTGAGCTCAATGCACCTCCATGAGTTGGATCGTCGCTGTAGAGGACTGCTTCTGAGATAGGGGGGGAAGGATGTTTTACCTGGGCGAGGGAAAAGTGGGTGAATAAGGTGCACGAGTTGATAGACCAGTTATTGGTTGGGGGTTTCAACGAGCAGCCCGGCTAGCTCAATCGGTAGAGCGTGAGACTCTTAATCTCAAGGCTGCGGGTTCGAGCCCCGCGTTGGGCTTTCTTTTTTCTCCCTCTTTTTTTTTTTCTGTGAACACGGATTGTCCGTCTAATCCATCCATCCACTTTTTTTTCTATTTTGTTCAACAGAAAACGATAATAGTAGGCGGTAGCCGGAGCACTAGATCTGACGCCAGACGACAGACGCATGACGATTGTGTCAATTTGTGCTTCTCTCCTGCCGCATCATGCACTTCTCCTCACCACCACCTGTCCCGAATCTTGAGCGACAATGGTGTCCATCCACCTCTCTCGCTTGTATCTGGTCACTCATCAGTATTCGACCACCTTCCTGGAATTGAGATGATTGTATCCTGTCAGACCACTAACCCCAAGCAGAGCGCGAGAACGCGCCCCACTTTTCCGGCCTCGCGATCAGCCCGAAGCGGTGCGCGGGAACGCCAGCATGGCTACATAACACCCGCCATTCCCTCCAGACCGTCCGACACAGCTCAAGTCTGCAAGGCACTCTGCCATCATGGGTAGTCTACCGTCAGCTCGCTCCCCGAATCTGGCGACCGATCCACGGTGCTATCTAGCCCTTTGCCTAGTGCTGATCGCCCTACTCGTCCAGACCCACTGGGTGACCCTCCCCGGCCCGCGCGCCGAGCCCGGTCCCGCTGTGCTGCGACTGCAACAGCACCAAGCTGCTCAGCTCGAGAAGCACTTGCAGAAATGTCAGGTGCTTCAACAATCCCCGGTCGTGCCTCAGGTGCCACCCCCAGCCACCCGGACCAACCCGCGATGGACCGCAACCGCCGGCCAGAACCAAACCATCATCCTGCGGAATGCGACCTTGTTCGACGGAGATCGAACCATTGACCACGCGGTCGATATCACTCTTCATCAGGGTGTCATCACCCATGTTGTGCCTACTCAACCGATCCAAGACCTGGCCACGGAGCCGGGCACCGCAGGGTTCCAATTAAACGGTCGTTTTGTGACACCCGGGCTCGTGGACATGCACTCGCACCATCTCGATGTCACCGACGACTTGAACGAAATCCATCCGGATTCCGGCCCTCTGACCCCCTTTGTGCGGGCTTTGGACAGCCTGAAGACCTACGACGAGACGACCACCATGTTCGCCTCGGGAGGCGTCACCTCTTCCCTCATTCTCCCTGGATCCGCCAACATCATGGGTGGCGAAGCCGTCATGGTCAAAAACCGTCTGAACAGCGGCGAGAACGCCGAACAAGTGGTCGAGGACCTTCTCCTCAAGCGAGGCATCCCTCCCGCGCAACGCCGGCGGTACATGAAAATGGCATGCGGGGAAAACCCCAAGGGTCTCTACGGTCATACCCGCATGGGCAACGCCTTTGTTTTCCGGAAGCAAATGACCGAGGCTCAGCGACTGCTGCAGCGTCAGGATTCCTGGTGCCTTGAGGCGGCCGCGGCCCATGAAACGGGGAACCCTGATGCGATTGCGCAGTTGCTGGCCGATGGGGGGTTGCCGGAAGATTTGGCTCTTGAGTCCTCTGTCGCGATGCTGCGGGGGCAGATCGGTATTAACATCCATTGCTATGAGCCAGAGGACATGGAAGCCATGATCCGACATAGCGAGGAGTTTGGCTTCCGCATCCAGGCGTTTCATCATGCTCTGGAAGCGTGGAGAGTGCCGGAGATGATCAAAGCCAGTGGACAGTAGGTTAGTTTGACCCGTGGTGAGATGACGCTGACGATGACTAGGAATATTACGATCGCGATATTCTCGCACTTTGCGCATTACAAACATGAGGCGTATGATGCGAGTTTGTATGCGGGGAAGATCCTGTCTGAACATGGGCTGTCGGTTGCCTACAAATCGGTATGTATGTTGCAGAGCCTGTGGACCGGGCTGACTGAGCTAGGATGCATCGTCGGAATTTCTCAACGCCAAGTATCTCCTGTAGGTAGTGGCTGACATACTATGACCAAGCTGACAGGAATCAGGTCTCAAGCCGCGGAGGGGCACTCGTTTGGCCTTCCGGAAAATGAAGCACTGAAATCTGTTACCAGCATACCGGCGACATCCGTGGGATTGAACGATCGGATTGGCTACGCAAAGCCAGGCTATGATGCAGACCTGGTTATCTGGGACGCCCACCCGTTGTCAAATGGAGCCACCCCGCTGCAAGTCTACATTGACGGCCAGCCCACCCTGAAGGATACGCTAACCGACCCTCTGTCGGATTTGCCTACCGCCCCGTCCATGCGTCCGGACGTCCCCAGGGACCAGAAAGCGGATACGTGCCGCCATCTCGGGCAAGAAGACGGAAAGTTCTTGATCACCGGTATACAAAAGTCTTTTCTTTCTACTTCGGATGCCGTTCTACCCACGGTAGACGACCTGGAGATGGTGCTTGACAGTGGAAAAATCACTTGCTTGGGACCTGCGGGCCATTGTGCAGCGGCTGCCACCAATGCCGTCCCGATCCAGTTGGACAACGGCCACCTATACCCGGGCCTGACCGCCGTCACCGCCGGTGGACTTGGCCTAGTGGATATCGCCACAGATCCCAGGACCGGAGATGAGGGCGATGCAATTCCAGCAGACACTGTGGCCAGCGACGCCTTGGTGTATGCCAAATATGGCCTGCGCCTCCAAGGCAAGGATCTCGTGAGAGCCCAGATGGGCGGCATTACCAAAGTGGTGACCGTTCCGCTGGCGCCAAACGAGCGTAGCGTTTTCCTGCGGGGCGTCTCAACCGTCTTCGAGACCAGCGGCCACGGCACAATTCTAGAAGGCCGAATCCTCAAAGACGATGTGGCTCTGCATGTTGTGTTCGGCCAGGAGGGCAACTCTCCCATCACATCCTCCACCTCCGCCGCCATCGGTCTGCTCCGACGGATCCTGATCGAAAACCAAGGACTGAACAACACCTACGGCCATGTGGCTAACGGCTCCCTACCCCTTGTGGTACACGTCAAAAACCACCACGACATGCTCCAGCTGGTGCAAGTAAAGCGCGATCTCCCCTCCGTGAACATGGTTCTCTTTGAAGCGTTCGAAGCATCCCTAGTGGCGGAGCAACTTGCCCACGCCAACATCTCGTTAATCTACACCGCTGTCCAGCCGAAGCCCCAGACATGGGAAGCCAAGGATGTGCCGATCGGGCCGCCTCTCACGGCATCTCCTCTCCGGGCTCTGGTGGACGCAGGGGTCAAGTTTGGCATCGCGCAGTCGGGATTGGGGGATTCGAATATCCATAATTTGGTGATTGATGCGGGGTTTGCTCGGAAGGTTGCGGGGTTGAGTGAGTTGGAGGCGGTGAATTTGGTGAGTCGGAATATTGAGGAGATTTTGGGGCTCGGTGGGGATAAAGAGGGTGGTGGGGTCAATCGGGGGAGGGATTTTGTGGTTTTTGAAGGGGATCCTCTGGAATGGGGGGCGAGGGTTGTGCTCACGGTTGATGGGGGAAAGGAGAAGGTGGTGGAGTGTTGGCCGGATGAGAATCCACCGTCGAGCTGGATTAGCTAGGTGCATACTCTTAATACTACCGGTCTCCCTGTAGGACGCAATACCCTAGCTGGTGTAATGTCCTGACCGAAATCTTTGAAGAGAGTTAGAGTAGTATGTATATTGCATAACCAAAGATACTAGTCTTAGCAACCATAAGCAGTCTCTCATACCCCCGAAACCCTCATCGAAACATGTCTCTGGCAAATGCAGCCTATGCACAGGAACCAACCACCACCTCCCAGACAACCACCTATTCCCAGCTGCAAATCCCGACCCTCCATCCAGACACAATTACCCCTGAGAAGATATATAGACCCATCACCACCACCGTAACAGATCTCTATCCAGCAGCAGCAGTACCACCAGCAACACCAACAAGCCCTCGAGTCAGCGAGTACATGATTCACACATCCTCCAAACGGGATGAACCTATAAAGCAAGCCTACATAGCGAAGCAAGACAGCAGAGAGGAAACGAAGGGGAGGAATACACCTCTCGCCTATCTTCTTACGTCTGTCTACAATCCCAAGGACGATAACACTGGATTGCAACAGGGTATACCACCATCCGACCTTCACCTATATCATCGAGATAATTCCTTTCCCTATCGGAACATTCACTCCAATACCTGCAAAACCGTTTCTTCTATGCAGAACAAGAAGCGAAATAGTGCAGTCCATATCTCCTGCTCTATCATTAGGTTGGTTGTTGCTTGTTGGTTGCTATACGGAGATCAACAGCAGTCAGGGAACAACAACTGGATTCACAGGGATGGCGTGTCGAAACTCCCAACTCTATTGCCGGGCTCTGCCACATGCACATGCACTCTAGTCTCCCGTGATGACCGTGATATGCCGGGGTTAAGTATATAATCCGTGAGCATAGCAGTGAGCCTGCCATGATTCCTGCTGCTCTAATAACCCACCTCATCTTACTCCGCAATAATGGCCCGAAACAACGCCATCTACACGTTCGACTCCCGGCCCTAAGTTACAATCGAGCGGGAAGGCTACTCCCAGAATAAAAGACGGGGGATGTGCTCACACCTACCACATATATTGCCTGGGTTCCAGTCAGCACCCGGGATATGGGGAAAACCACCAATATCTTTTCCGAGATTAGTCTGCACATGACTTGACATAAGCCTGGCAGACACTACATGGATGGGAATACCACATGTGTGTATTGAGAAGCCCGCTGACCCTCTATATACCTTGGAATCCAGGCCATGTATCTGAGTGGGATCGAATGAAGGGCTCCCCAGATGGAGGCACCCAAATTATGCGACGAGGATGATGATGAGATTCTCGTATCTGCGTACTACATTGAGTGGAAGACAAGCTCGTGTTCTCGCAACATCGCCGGGTTGGATGCTCTGGGTCAGTGTAGTACAATGTCGAATCCAGTGCATGGTTCGGATGATTTGACTAGGGCATGGGTTTGACTCTGGAGAGTGCTAGTTTTGTCCCTTGCAAGTACTTCTCATTGCTTGTCGCGAGCGAGCAATCCGATGAAATCGGTGAGGCCGTTCGAGTGGAGGTACTGGGCTTCGCCTTCATCTTCTTGGGCCTGATGATGGCAGGTGGGTGAAAGCTATCGGTACTTTGTTGGATATGGGTCTAGCCAGGCGAATGCATCAAAACATCCACCAAACTTCAAACCAGTCGAGTCAATGATTTCAAGGTTCGCCGGTTGTGGAGACTTGAGACGAATCCCTTCAATGACCATCACGTCTGCATTGAGCATTGACTGAAATCTGTGGAAGAAGGATGTGGGCACAACCCACTTGGATACGGACTACTCTGTCCGATTGATGCACTCACGAAACCTACGAGTGGTGGTTGCTATGCAGCAGGTGGCACCTCCATCGCCTTCCGCTCTTGCGACTTGAAGTCGGATCGACCCCTCAAGACAAGTCACCACTCGACCGAACCATATCGCAGTCCACTCCTACCGTCGATTGACGTTTTTAGAATTTTGGGATACATACAGCGCACTTCCTGAACACTCTAATCTGAAACCGCCACCATGTCTCCTACATCGGAGCAGTGCCATGACACCTGCAAGTCATGCTGCTTTTTGGCAGAGTTCCACTGTACTAAGCGTTCTGTCAAATTACAGACCCCTCACACTGATTCCTACGGTCACGCACCACAGCAACCATACGGCATTATCCGCTCTATCAAACTGGCCACTATGGCGAGTGCACCATCCCTCCTTATGCTGTGGTTCCCGCTCAGTGACCTCTAGCACCGAGCTATCCAGCAAGGAACACAATCCTACCACTGATATACAATCGTGCATCGTCACCAATACCAAACTAAATATTGACATCCCCAGCCCTATATCTTGATCCGTTCTCTCCCCTATCAGAACCTCCACACTACAATCCTCACCAAGGAACCACCCCTCAGCGCTTCCGATCGCGCTCCTAGGCTTCTAGCTCGGCAGCCGTAATCTGCTTGTTCCTGTCTATTCCCACATTTCCATATTTCCCTCAATTCATCAGACAGCGCAACCCCGAAAATACACTACATTGCTTGATGACGTGTCCCAACTCCCGAGCCATCACCGAACGCAAGCGTGCAGGAACTTTGCTTCCTGGTTTCACAGACACAGCCACCAATGTTACAAGCTGATATACCCTAAAGAGGAGGTTCGATGGTGGTGATGGGGATGAAAGGGACATTGGAGGTGTGGAAGATGCGGTGCTGCTCTGGCATGTAGTTCTTGATGAAGGACCAGCTGTCGACGACGGCGGAGGAATATCCTAATTTACGTTGGATGGCGAGCTCGCCGGGGTGCCATCCTTGGAGGGCTGCGGACATGGTATATCTATGGGTGTTTAGGGCTTTTGCAGTGGTCTCTGTTGGCTAGATGGGCTTCAGACTCGTGGACACCACCCTAGCCAAGATCTGCTTTATTCTGCGCATGGATGTCGTATATAGGAATCCAGCTCATGCGGGCAGGGACAGATTAGAAATCAAGGTGGCACAGTGCTTACTGGCGTATTCACGAACTTTGGGCTAGTCATAGACAAGACTATAGCTGTTTCCGGACCTTATGAAATCATCCTCAGCAGCTGTCGCAGGGAGCATTGAGAATCTAACATCAAATCTGCGATTACTATAATCAATCTGTTCAGCAAACGGGGAGATAGATTACAGCCAAGTCGGAAACTCTAAGTCAAAGCACTAAATGCTGACCCGCGGGCCGATTACCCCTCACCATTTGTAAGCATCGTTGCGTCACAGTCAGAGCAGCAGACACAACCACTTCAATCTTATCTCAACTAAACAATCCAACCAACATCATGGCCCAAACCACCCCAGCAGTCTACCACTACCTCGACATCGGCCGCCTAGGCCGCGGGGAAGTCGTCAAGTCAGCC